TGGCACAGGCCTTTAGTGAAAATGTTTAATCTAATAAATTAATTGAAGCATTCACACAAGTGATATTTGTGTTAATTTGCAATAACACAAGAAACAAGTCAGAGAAGGAGTTGGATCTGTTTATGTCAATGTGATTTTCTCCACAATTTCAAACAAGTACAAAATGAAAAGCAAGGGGATAAGGTGGAAAAGTTAACAACCCAATTACAGAAATGTACTGGGCTGGGGATGTGGCATAGTGGGAGAGTATTTGCCTTTTCATATGTGAGGCCCTGAGACCCACTGTAATTACTGGGTAATGCAATTACCCATTGTAATTAATTGCTGACAACATTAATGAGAAATACAATCGAATGGTTCAGCACCTCCATGATTATGCGAGGAATGCCAAAGGAGAGAGAAAAAAAGCCTGTCTTCAAAAACTCTTGAGCTTATTCACCAACTGGTTTGGCGCATGCCTCAGGCAATCACAAGCGAATGTCCAAGATCTCAAAGCAGTGCAGAGATGCAATAAAGGAAGACTTCAAAGACAGAAGAACAGCAGTTCTGGTAGATATGGCAGAAGCTAGGAAAAGCATTTGTAACGCCCGCCTGTCCTTCGCCAACTACAAGACCAAGATGACTGCCCTCCGACATCCTGATGGATCTATCACATCTTCCAGAAGGGCAATGAAGAAGATATCCATGACTTCTACTCAGATCTCTTTGATAGCCCCGTTCACCTGCCCACATACCAAATTCCACAGGATGGATATGTCATTCCCAATGTTCTCCCTTCCGAAATCCTACACACCATTTCATCGGTAAAGAAACGAACAGCACTTGGCCCAGACAAGGTCAAACCTGAACACCTGAAGAACCTGCCGTCAGTACTCATCAATACATTGGCTCAGCTCTTCACGCACTACCTGTCTGAATGCAAGGTTCCATCCCAATGGAAAACCAGCAGGACTGTACTACTGTACAAGAAGGGAGACATCCACGACATTGGCAACTATCGTCTGATCTGCCTACTGTCTGTCATCTACAAGCTGTTCACTCGAGTCATCCTGAATAGGATTGACAGAACACTAGATGAAGGACAACCATGTGAGCAAGCCAGGTTCCGCAAAGGATTCAGCACGATAGACCATATCCACATAATAACCAAGCTCATTGAGGTTTCTTGGGAGTTCAAGATGCCGCTCTGTCTAACGTTCATTGATTTAAAGAAGGCCTTTGATACTGTTGAGACTAAAGTGGTCATCAAAGCCCTAGTCAATCAGGGCATTCATACTCCATACATCAGGATCCTCTGTGAGCTGTATTGTGGATTCACTACCAGGATCTCACCATTCTACAAAGACGTGATCATCAATGTCAAGAGAGGGGTTTGGCAAGGTGATACCATTTCACCAAAACTCTTCAATGCCACCCTCGAGAACATTATGCGACGACTAGAATAGGAAGGAATAGGAGTGAAGATAGACGGTCGGCAACTACACCACCTCCGCTTTGCTGATGACATCATTCTAATAACACCACACATTAGCCAAGCAGCATAAACACTGGCTGAGTTCGACTGTGAGTGTGGGAAAGTTAGACTCCAGCTGAATCTCACGAAGACAATGTTTATGAGAAACAGTCTCGTTCCTGACGTTCCATTCGCTCTCAATGGAATGACCATCTCTGAATGCAACAGTTATGTGTACCTAGGTCGAGAAATCAACATGACGAATGACCTGGCACCTGAGTTGCACAGGAGGAAGAAAGAAGCTTGGAATGCTTTCAAGAGCATCGAAGAAATTGCTAAGAGGACGAAGAAGCTCCGGCTCTGGGCACATCTCTTTGATTCCACTGTTCTTCCTACATTAACATACGCCTCAGAGACCTGGGCTATACGAAAACAGGATGAGAATGCAATTCCTGTCTCCCAAGGAGGAATCGAAAGAGCTATGCTTGGAGTATCACGCTTCACTCAAATGAGAGAAAGAATCTGAAGTTCCGACCTCTGTCGACGGTCAAGAATCAAGGACACTGTCTTGTTTGCCAAGGCATCGAAAATCAGATGGGCTGGACACATAATGAGATTTGAAGACAACCGCTGGATTAGAGCCGTTACTGACTGGATTCCACGGGACATCAAAAGACCGTGTGGCCGCCCACCTACAAGATGGTCAGACTTCTTCGTCAAGACACTGAACAATCGGTTTGAGGCTCTTTGTGTTTCTAAAACAAATAGATGCCATTGGGCTACACTAGCACATGACAGGGATGAATGGAGACATTACTGGCACCCATTCAAGCAAATTAGGAGATAAGAGAAAAGAAGAAAGAGCATAGGATGAAGTTAGTTCAATATAAATGCACTGTCACAAAAGGCAGAGGCTCTCACATATATTCAAACTGATAGCTCAATAGCAGTAGCACTGTAGCACTGTCCTCCCATTGTTCATTGATTTGCTTGAGCAGGCACAAGCAACATCTCACAACAAATTGTCAGACTCGTGATTGTTTTTGGCATATCGAATATGTCATGGGGAGCTTGCCAGGCTTTGCTATGCGGGTGAGATACTCTCAGTAGCTTCCTGGGCTATCTGAGAGGATCAAGGAATCAAACTCGGGTTGGCCACATGCAAGGCAAATGCCTTATCTGTTAAATAGAGAGTTTTTCCATTTCAAGTTCCTTGTGACCCATTTAAAATCCAGGCCACTTTGTACCCCGTCTCAGCACAGTGTCCTCTCAAAGAAACATCAATTTAGCAAAATACAAAAGGTCATCAAATAATACCAGATTATTAATATACTAATATCAATATCATATTATTCTGTGACTAGTGAGAAGAATCAATCAAATCTAACCAAGGCTACTGTCGTACATGGAGGTCACACATTCTTCTGTCTGTGTGGGTTTTTTTTTTCCAGATACTCTGGTTTCATCACACATCTTAACTATGTGCATGTTAAACTCCTTGGTAAGTCTGACCTGTCCTGGTCCGAGTGAGCAGGGTTTAAGTGAGTGCTCTGGATGGAAGGGCATCCTGTTCACAATGATTCCCTTACTCTGACCAGAGATACCTACAGGCCAGGTGTTGGCCAACCAAGACTCTAACTGGAATAAACCGCTCGGAAGAGAAATGAATTTTTTTTAATGGTTAATCTAAGAAGAGTTTTAAATCTTTATTTAGATGCTTCATGTTGTCTTTGGAGTCAGAAATATTCTGTGGGCATAAACTCTTGTTCATGACAATTAGCCTATAGTAAATGTACTTTGATTATACTAAATGTCATTTCACCTAAATTTCCAAGAATCTATCAATGAAATTAAGTGAAGATGCATTGTGATTTAAATACAGTTTAAAGTTTTAGTTTTGTCTCACGGGGGAGGGGGGGAATCTTATTTAGAAAGTAAGAAATTATTCATAATAAAATTTTGTTACATTTTCATTCTCCTTCTTAGAGCGAGACTGACAGACAGACAGACACACACACACACACACAAACAGAGAGAGAGAGAGAGATCGAGATCTAAATAGTAGCAGCCTGAAAGAATAGAAGTTTGGTTCTCTGAAGAACAAACAGATCTGTAAAAATGCATTATGATTAGTATTGCCTCTAACTAAGATTTTCCTCATTGGTAAGTGTTCCTTCACCCGGCAGTCACTTCAGCAAAATATACCCCTATACCCCTGCAACATTTTAAAAGTTAAACTACTGAAGTTGGAGAGATAACACAGCCGGTAGGATGCTTGCCTTACACACACCCAACCTGGGTTTGATTCCCAGCAGCAGCCCATATGGTCCCTCTGAGCCTGCCAGGAGTAATCCCTGAACACAGAGCCAGAAGTAAACCCGCAACAAAGCCAGGAAGTGACTCAAAAATACGTTAAGCTACTGGCTCAATTCCAGCAAGTCACCCCGTATGGCCCCCCAAGTCATGCCAGTAGTAATCTCTGAGCACAGACCCAGGAGTAAGCCATGAACACTGCTGGGTATGCTTCCCCGCTTCCCTGGCAAAAATATCTGCATTAAGCTACCAGGCCTGAGAGAGAGCTCGTGGGCTGAGCGCACGCAGTCCCAGTGCAGGGCCCAGGTTTTATCCCAGAACCTCATGGTGCCTTGGGGACCAGGGAGCAACCCCTAAGCACAGAACTAACAGTACCCCTCAAGCACTGCTAGGTGTTGAAAAAAACAAAAGAACAAAAGAAAATTTAACTTCTGGGTAAAGAAATTATAGGAAAGTAAGCCTGCAGAAATCAATATTAAAAGGACACATGTCAGCACATCCCTGATCAGGTCAGCTGCTGCACACAAGCAACCAGCCTGGGGGAGCTTCAATTCCCAGCTGACCAGCCCACTCTTCACCTCTGATCCAGTGGTCACTTTCTCCTTGACGGTCCCAGACCCTCCCTCCCCATCCCTATCCCCCTGTGATTCTGAAACATAATTAAATCTCCACCGGTCTAACTAAATTTAAAAACTGGCGTCTCTGGGGATTCTACCCAGAATTAGAACCTAGGATTATTTTTGTTTTTCTTGATGTTGTTTTACAAGATTTCTCCATCAGTTTTCCTGAGCTGGTCTTTCTCTGATGCTCTCTGGTTTTTTAAAGCCTTAAGCAGCTGACTTGCCTCTAGAGTTAGCATTTTGGTGGATCAGACAGCACTATCGCATATTTAATTTATACTTCCAGGCACAGCTTTTCTTCTCCCTCTACTTTGCTCCTATTCTCTAAGCTATTTCTAAATGTCAGGCTGTTTTTCACTTTCCTCACTCTCTGTGGTCTTCTCTGTGGTCTTCATCTACAAATACTTCAGAGCATCCCTTGTTAATTATACAAAATAGCTGCGTGGATTAAGACTCTGTTCATATCAGAATGGTGTCCATCTCCATTAGTCTAGAGAATGCTAGAATCATATACTGAGAACAGAATCTCATGTTTAGGGATATTTGTTTTCACCATAGAATACTGAAAAAGAAACTCAAATTATATAAGGACTTCATGATGTTTTCAAACTCACCACTGATGAGTTGAAGGGAGTCAGGATCTGGATTCAAAGAAGAGTTTCCCCGCAAAAAATTCTGGTGCAATGTCTCAGCAATATAATCTCTGAAGTTGCTAATTGTATAAACAACAGTGGGCTTGTGATCCAATTCCACGAGACCATGGTTTTCCACCTTATTGGAGTGAAGGCTAATTAAATCCCATGTGGTATTGCTGATGGCCTCCCCATTGAAGGAAACTTCATAATGAACATCGATGCCACTGTGGATAAGAGAGGATATATTAGGTCATGCAAAGAAAACACACACAAAAAAGGAGCTTTGAATTCATGAAGAACGAACATTACACTAAACTTGGGAGTCTCAAAGAGCATATATTCCATCACCAGTTTGCAGACTCTGGACAACCTTTGGCTACCATGCTTTTCCTCCCAGAGAACAGAGGTGGACAGAGGCAAAACAGTTGAAGGTGTTCTTAGAAGACAACCCTGCATAACACCTGACTTCCTTCCTCCTGCTTTCTTTCTTCTCTCCTCCCTCAAAGCCAACCTTCTCTCCCATCTGCCTGCTTCCTTCTTCCCTCCTTCTCCTCCTTGATTTTTATTCTATTGTATTTTTTACATCTGTTTTATTTTGTTTGGAGGCAATACCCAGCTATTCACAGGGCGTACTACTACCTCTGAGCTCAAGGATCATTCCTGGTGGGTTCTGGAAGTCATATGGGATGCAGAGATCGAATCTGCATCAGCCACATGCAAGGGAAGCTGCGGGCACTTGCCTTGCACACAGCTGATCCAGGTTCAACATATTATCACTCTGTCCTCCTCAGCCCCGGTTTTTTTTAATTATTATTATTAGTGAAACACCATGAGATACAGTTGCAGATTTACAAAGTTTTGTGCTTGGGTTTCTATTATACAATGATCAAATACCCATCCCTCTACCAGTGCCCATTTTCCACCACCATGGATAATATCCCTCCCACCCCCATCTCTCCCGTCCCACCCTGCCTCTGTGGCAGGACATTCCCTTGTGTTCTCTCTCTCCTTTTGGGTGTTGTGGTCTGCAAAAGAGGCTTTGAGCGGCAAACATGTTCAGTCCATAGTCTACTTTCAACATGCATCTCCCCTCCTGGGAGGATCCTCCAAAGACCCTTTATTTGGTGCTCCTTTCTCTATCTGAGCTGCCCTTTCACCTAGAATGCCTAGCTGGCCTCTAAGCTATGGAGTAATCCTCCTTGTGCTGATCTCAGCTATTCTTGGGTATTAATCTCATATTTTGTTACTTTATATTCCCCAGATGAATGCAATCTTTCTATGTCTATCCCTCTCTTTCTGACTCATTTCGCTTAGCATGATACTTTCCATGTTGTACCACTTGTATATAAATTTCATGACTTCATCTTTTCTAACAGCTACATAGTACTCCATTGTGTAGATGTACCAAAGTTTCTTTAACCAGTCATCTGTTCTTGGGCATTCAGGTTTCTTCCAGTTTCTGGCTATTGTAAAGAGTGCTGCAATGAAGAAGCAAGTGCAGATGTCACTTCACTATACATTTTTGCCTCTCTGGGATATATTCCCAGGAGTGGTATTGCTGGGTCAAATTAAAGCTCAATTTCTAATTTTTTGAAAATCGTCCATACTGTTTTCCAGAAGGGCTGAACCAGTCGACATTCCCACCAACAGTGAAGGAGTGTCCCTTTCTCGCCATATCCATGCCAGCATCGGTTGCTTTTGTTCTTTTGGATGTTGGCCAGTCTCTGAGGTGTGAGATGGTATCTCATTGTGGTTTTGATCTGCATCTCCCTGATGATTAATGATGTAGAGCATTTTCTCATGTGCTTTTTTGCCATTTGGATTTCTTCTTTGAGAAAGTTTCTGTTCATTTCATTGCTCCATGTCTTGATGGGGTTGGATGGTTTCTTCTTGTGGAGTTCAACCAGTATTTTGTATATCCTTGATATCAACCCCTTGTCAGATGTGTATTCGGCAAATATCCTTCCCCATTCTGTAGACTGTCTTTGTATTTTGGTCACTGTTTCTTTGGAGGTGCAGAAGCTTCTTAGTTTAAGATAGTCCCATTTATCTATCTCTGTTTTCACTTGCTCGGCCAGTGTCGTGGCATCTTTGAAGATACCATTAGCTTCAATGTCATGGAGGGTTTTGCCAACTTTGTCTTCAATGTACCTTATGGTTTCTGGTCTGATGTTGAGGTCCTTAATCCATTTTGATCTTACTTTTGTACATGGTGTTAGGCAGAGTTCTGAGCCCATTTTTTTGCATGTAGCCGTCCAGTGATGCCAGCACAATTTGTTAAAGAGGCTTTCCTTACTCCACTTTACATTACTTGCACCTTTATCAAAGATTAGATGATCATATGATTGAGGGGATATGTCAGTGTATTCAACCCTGTTCCATTGGTCTGCAGTTCTGCCTTTGTTCCAGTACCATGCTGTTTTAATTATTACTGCTTTGTAGTAGAGTTTGAAGTTAGGGAGGTTGATTCCTCCCATTTTCTTTTTCCCAAGAATTGCTTTAGCTATTCATAGGGGCTTATTGTTCCATATAAATTTCAGGAGTGTTTACTCCATTTCTTTGAAGAATGTCATGGGTATCCTTATAGGAATTGCATTGAATTTATACAATACTTTTGGTAAAACATTTTGACAATGTTAATCTCCCGACCCATGAGCAGGGGGTATCTTTCCATTTCCTCATGTCCTCTTTTATTTCCTGAAGTAGAGTTTTGTAGTTTTCTTTGTACAGGTCCTTTACTTCCTTAGTTAAGCTGATTCCTAGGTACTTGGTTTTCTGGGGAACAATTGTGAACAGGATTGTTTTTTTCATGTAGCTTTCTTCTCTCTCACTGTTTGCATATAGGAAAGCCATGGACTTTTGGGTATTGATTTTATAGCCTGCAACTTTACAAGTCTATTGTTTCTAGGAGTTTTTTGGTGGAGGTTATTGGGTTCTCTAAGTAGAGTATCATATCATCTGCGAATAGTGAGAGCTTGATTTCTTCCTTTCCTACCTGAATGCCCTTAATATCTTTTTCTTGCCTAATCGCTATTGCAAGTACTTCCAGTACTATATTGAACAGCAGTGGAGAGAGTGGGCATCCATGTCTCGTCTCTGATCTTAGAGGGAAGACTCTCAGTTTTTCCCCATTGAGGATGATGCTTGCTGTAGGCTTGTGGTAGATGGTTTTAACTATGTTGAGGAAAGTCCCCTCTATACCCATTTTGGCTAGGGTTTTCATCATAAAGGGGTGCTGGATCTTGTCAAATGCTTTCTCTGCATCTATTGATATGATCATATGCTTTTTATCTTTTCTTTTGTTGATATGATGGATTATGTTGATTGATTTCCGAATGTTAAACCATCCTTGCATCACTGGGATGAATCCTACTTGGTCATGGTGTATGATCCTTTTGATGAGTAGTTGGATTCTATTTGCTAGTAGTTTGTTGAGGATCTTTGCATCTGTGTTCATCAGGGATATCAGTCTGTAATTCTCTTTCTTTGTGGTATCTCTGTCTGCTTTTGGTATCAGTGTGATATTTGCTTCGTAGAAACTGTTCGGAAGTGTTTTTGATATTTCAATTTCGTGGAAAAGCTTAAAGAGGATTGGGAGTAAGTCCTCTTTAAAGATTTGGAAGAATTCACTAGTGAATCCATCCGTCAGCCCCGGTTTTTAAAAGAAACAAAACAAAACCATATAGCTTCATTTAGAGAATTCATATAGAGAATTAACAATGGCTAATTCTCTTATATCTTGTTGCTGTTGGATAAATTATATACTTCACAACAGGGAGTAATAAAAAAAAGTTAATCACTATAAACAAAACACAACTATTATTGTGGAAGTAACAAAAGAACTGAGAAATAAATAAAATTGTTGATTTGCAATTTTTCAAAATACTGTCACTGCCCTCCCATTGTTCATCTATTTGCTTGAGCGGGCCCAGTAACGTCTCCATTGTGAGACTTCTTGTTACTGTGTTTGGCATATTGAAGTCTCGGTAGCTTGCCAGGCTCTTCGAGAGGGGCAGAGGAATTGAGCCCGGCCAAGCCGGGTTGGCTGCGCACAAGGCAAGCACCCTACCTCTGTGCTATCGCTCCAGAATACAATATAAAAAAACTTTAAATATTACAATTATCTGGCCTGGAAAGATAAGGTGCTGGCCTGGCATATATCATTCCATGAGCATCACTGAGCACAAAGCCAGGAACAGTTCCTCAACACTAACACTAACACTCCCAAACCTCCTCCAGCTATACACACACACACACACACACACACACATACACACATACACACACACACACACACACACAGACATTATATCTAAGACTCTCGGGAGTTATACTTTGGCTCTGTATCCCAGGTAATGTGCAGAACCATAAGTTTGATATTAAAGGTAAAGGTAAAGGCCCTCCCGTTGATCATTGATTTGCTCGAGTGGGCCCAGTAACGTCTCCATTGGAGACTTTGTTGTTACTGTGTCTGGCATATCGAATACTCTCGGTAGCTTGCTGGGCTCTCCGAGAGGGGAAGTTTGACATTAAATTACAAAAAGTACTATAGTGTGGGGCTTTTTTGTCTATTAAAAAACTTCCAAGTTTATGATGTTGCTTGTTTGTTTTTATTAATGTGCTATGATTTACAAAGTTACTAATAGTTGCACTTTAGGCATACAACAATTCAACAGCAATCCCTCCACCAATGTCAACTCCTCCCCACCAGTATTCCCAGATTCCTTCCCCATCCCAACCCCCACTCCACTCCCACCTGTCCACTTGACGGGCACATTACAAAGTGTGAGTGGTTGCCACTTAGACCTCATGTTTTCTGTTCTGTTGAATTTGTATTTGGGGTATGTGGCTATACCCCTCATTCATATCACTACTATAACTAAAGCAAATATTACTTCTGTTCTCTTCTCCCCAACACCCCAATTTGATTTATTTTCTTCTCTATCTCCTCTCTAAACACTGGGATCAAGGGGTTAAGGATAATCTAAGCATACCCCTTTTATTACAATACATTTCCTCATCCACTATTCTATATTCCACAGATAAGTAAGATCATCCTGTGTTTGTCTTTTTCTTCTGGTTTACTTCACTCTACATGATATCTTCCAGTTGTAACCATGTTGCAGCAAGCTGCTTGATTTCATCATTCCTTGCAGCTGCATAGTATTCCATTGTGTATATATACCACCTGTTCATAATCCATTCATCTATTGTTGGACAACTAGGTTGATTCCATATCTTAGCTATTGTACTGAGTGCAGCAATGAATAATGGTGTGCACATGTCCTTTTGAGTGAATGTTTTTATGTTCTGGGGATAGATGCCCCAAAGTGGAATTGCTGGGTCAAATGGCAGTTCACTTCTAAGTTTACTAAGGACTCTTCATACTGTTTTCCACAGGGGGTGTACCAGGCAACATTCCCACCAGCAGTGCCAGCAGTGGATAACAGTTCCTTTTCAAAGTTTATGCAGAAAACCAGACGAAGGAAAGCCAAGTCTTTTCAGAAAGCCTACTCCTAGCACTTTGAAGTCTCAGAGGCAGACAATCAAAGGAAATGTTTCTGGATCAAGGAGCTTATGCAAATCAGGATGTCTGGGTTAGATTTCTGGCCTTCTCTTTATTGGCAAAACAGAATTTGTCTGCCAGTGTTGCTCTTGGACATCTAAAAATAGCACTCCACTTATAATTTACCTTGTCTGGTGAGGATGAATTCATTAAAGAAGATAAAATGTCTCAGACAGATGTCGCAATTTATTACCCCATATTTTCACTCTGGAAAATGAATTCAAAGAAATGCTTGAGGTATCAAGAAACCATCTATTCTCAGAGCTAGGAAACTTAACTCTGACCCAGAGCAGGATGAATTCTGGCACGGTAAAATGGAGTACAACAAAGACATCTCAGGATAAGGACCAATATAAGGAAAGCCAAGAAACCAAGGGTGTACATACAGGGAAAAAAATAAACACATGGAGGGGCAATATATTATCTGACTGTGAAAAAGTTTTGCAGCTCTCAGCTAACCCTAAGCTAGCCAACCACCACTGTTGCATCATCTTTCATTTTCTGAACCAGACTGCAACAGCTGCTGTGAGGAGGAAAGTTCTCTGAGAATAGCTATTGCCAGGGAAATCAATCTTGTGGAGGTAAATTTCACTTTTCTATTCTTTCACCCCAACTGCCCTGAATTACTGCTTGACATGTGTAGAATCTACACAATAGTATCAAATCTATTAAAATGGACTATAAGTGATATTTCACAGAAACCCAGGCATCTCTTCTTCAAAACACACCTGTTAGAAAGAAATTTCTGCCTGGAGCTGACTATTTCCCACTCAAAACTTAATTTATTAATCTTTTCATTTTTTTTAGTTAGTTCAGGTCAAACGGTCACAATAGTGTTAATATTGATGATCTTAATGTACAAAACCACTGGATCTTCATCACCAGCAAAGAGTCCAAGATCATCCATTCCTCTCCATATTTCTTCCTCTCATTTCTCCCCCAACCCTTCTGCTTAGTAATCTCAGTTTCATAAGTAAAGATCAAGTGTTTGGTGTCATCATTTGATGTTGTTAACTTCCTTGTTGTGCTTTTCCCCACCTCCCTCCTATTTTCACCCTTTTCCCTGCCTTTAAAAAAAAATCTTAAGAACTGTGTGATTGTTTAGCTTTGTAATTGCTCTACTTATCTTGGATATCCATCCTTTATCTGATGGATGGATGTATGGTGTGCAAATATTTTCTCCCATTAAGTAGGGTTTCTATTTATTTTAGCCTAAGTTTCTGCATGAACTTTTATTTTTCATTTTTCTTTTTTTTTAATTGAGTCACCAAGCATGAACTTTTCACTCTGATGTTAGTCCAGTGTTATTTATTTTTAGCTTGTAGTATTTCATAATGGAGTCAAATAAGTGAAGATATGTCTCAGGTCTATATTCTGAAGGGTTTTTACCGTCTTCCTCAGTGCATGTTATGGATTCTGGTTTAATCTTAATGTCATTAATTCATTCAATTTTTGTATATGATATAAGATAGGAATCCAATGTCATTTTTTATGTGACTGTCCAGTTTTCCCAGCACCATTTGTTGAAAAGGCTTTCGTTGTGGAGCTTAAGTTTTGGGGGGTTTTTTTTGTTTGTTTTTTGGTTTTTTGGGGGTTTTTTTTTTGCTTTTTGCTTCACACCCGGCAATGCTCAGGGGTTACTTCTGGCTTTGCACTCAGGGATTACTCCTGGCGGTGCTCAGGGGACCATATGAGATGCTGGGAATCAAACCCAGGTCAGCTGCATCCAAGGCAAATGCCCTACTCGCTGTGATACCGCTCCAGCCCCATGAAGTTTTAAAGCGAAGGTACCAGGGAGATTAACACTGTTGATTCATTTAAATGGATCCTATTATCAAAATAATGTGTATGAAATATCATTAAGAGTTGCAAATCGTGTACTGGTGAAGGGATGGATGTTGAAACATTGTATAATAGAAACTCAGTCATGAATAAATTTGTAACTGTATATCTCATGTTAATTCAATAAAAAATTTTAATTAAAAAAATTTTTTAAAAAAAGAATTGTAGTGCTCGCTTCGACAGCACATATACTAAAATTGGAACGATACAGAGAAGATTAGCATGGCCCCTGCGCAAGGATGACACGCAAATTCGTGAAGCGTTCCATATTTTTGTATAACTGAAACCCAAGCACAAAATTTGTAAGTCTATAACTGTACCTCATGGTGTTTCACTAATAAAAAAAGAAAAAAAAAGAGTTGTAAATCATGGTACCTGAATAAAAATGGTGAATATTGAGCTATAAGAAAGGTGAAGTCTTGTTTCTTGGGACAGGGTGGATGGAACATGAAGATGTCATGTTAAATGAAATAAATCAGAAAGAGAAAGAGAAATGCTAGATGATCACACATATGTGGGGGATAAAGAAACAGATCAAAGGAACAGACTCAGTTAAATAAAAACAAACTCTTGGACTCTGACCACACCTGTCATTTCCACCAAAGTACAAAATGAAAAGGGTAAAAGGGTGAAAGGAGTCAAGTGGTTAGTGGTAGGAATTATACTGACATTTGGGTTGTGGTCATGACATTATAACATATATTCTGAAGAAGTAAAACTGTACTACTAAAAGAAATCTAATCTCTTAAGCCAATATTACTTCAGTTTTAAAAAGAATTTTTCTTATGAAAGAGATGCAGAGAAAATAAAAAACTTCATGTTCTTATAAATATTTATAGGGAGAGGGAAAGAGAAATTAATATAGATCATTTCTGAATCACACAGTCATTCATACACAATTGGAATAAAAGTATTACCAAAAAGAAATACTTGATTTACTACTGAATAACATTAACAGAAGTGTTTACGTTGATGAAAACTTTGTGTTCTCAATTAACTTTTAACTTACTAGTTAAAAGTTCTTACAGTCTGCAGTCTATGACGGAGGTCTGTAAATAGAAATGCTGACGACTAAACAATGAATTTTATGTTTTTTAAAAGGTAAAAAATACGTGAAATTCATATCAGTGTCCATAAATTACACTGACTAGGACATACACATGTTTATTTATTCATTTTTTTGAATTTCATGTATTGCCTCTACTTTCCTCTAATAGTGGCAAGGTTGTATAGTTGCAACTCGGACCATATAGTTTGAAAATTTGAAATATTTACTACCTGATCCTTAACAGAAAGTTTGCCAACTCCTGACTTGTCAAGAGATAGTACTATTTAAAGGGATAAAAGAACTGGACCATGCTGCAGTGGATCTAGGCTACCAGATTTTCTAAACTATCTCCTCAATCAGTGTATAATATAGAAAGTGCTAGGAAGCACAAAAGATACTCTACCTGCCATTTTCCTTGGGAAACCTGAAAATAAAAATTGAAAGTGTTAAGCAGAGTTTAAGACAGTTAAAATTGCCACATTAGTCACCAAAATGCAACTTCTTAATACATTTCTTCTGAAATGTTTCCTTCAGTAGAAATGCTTAGATACTGACAGATTCCTGTAAACTAAAGCAAGTGCACAGATACCGAGAGAATGTTCCATTTTAAAATTAATAGTCCTAAATATTAGATGATCTCACTCGACTTTGGAATATAAAAAGACAAACATTTGAAATAGACAGCATCGAACAATGACAACCCCTTAACTATGGATTCAAAATGGATAAATTCAGGGGGAAAGGCAAGAGAAAATAAACAAGACTATAGGTGACATAGGAACAGTGGTGTAAGGCAGTAAATTTGTACATCAAAACCACAAATGTTAACACCATATTAATAATTTTAAAATAAAAAAACAAAAGGAAACCAATTGCCCTTTCTTTAAACCATCATTGAACACATTTTCTAAATAATTTGTACATTTTTTCTTCGTAAATAAACTTTTTAATTAAATCAGAAGAGAGCCCTAATTGTTGTCAAAAAATAAAATTAGAGATACTTTGGGGAAGGTATCCAAGTCTCAAGAGAATAAATTGACAAAATAAAGTACCATCTAGTCTGACTTTCGACTCCTCTCGGTGGCAAATAAAAGTCAAGTAACTTGTCAACAGCATTCGAGGAATATTATTTCCTATGTTTTCACCTGGGCCAACTACAGATATCTTTGAGTATGTCTCTTTGAATATATCATTTTGCCTGTTTTAAGTTTTCGCTGCTGAAGAACTAGCACTGAGCATACAACTTTACTAGAAACAGTATTTAGACCAGGAGTGGGAACATCTGAGCTGCCGGATATACTCAGCCCCAAAATCACGTGGTCTGGTCCTGGCACATGATAAGACAGACCTGTCTGCTTCTCAGCAGGTATCTGTGACCCATTGACCTATATTGAATGGTATATGGATGATGCTAAAAGTATCCAAATAGCCTCAAATTTGAATAAAGTTTCCCATTCTGACTGAGAATAAATCTATTTACCTAAAGTCAAGTACATGAATATCCTTGTAGCCTGGTAATCCAATAAATGCATTTTCAACCTGTTAAAAATAAAAAAATCAACTGTCTAAGTATGCAGAAATATGAAGAACTACATCAAAAATTATTTTATACTTTTACATACACACAAGGATCAGAAACTTAATTAAGAAAGTTCTAATTACAATGTTACAAAACAGTTTTCACCACAATACTGACCACTTATTCCTTCTCATTTTCTCTTTCAAAGTTTTAATGGACTCTGATATTAATGTTTTTCCAAATTTTAAAACCATCCAACTTGTTAGCAAAGCACTGTATTTTTTTCCTGATAGAAAAAAAAAGGTGGGGGAAAAGCACTAGTTTCCTAAGAAACTATGACAGCAGTATTAAAATGTAATTGTTTGGATTCAAAATCTGGTAACAGCACACACTTTGACAAATAGTCATGTTCATTTTCTTTAAGTGTGTTTGGTGACTTCTGCTTCCTGTTCCTCCAACTGTGAACACAGTCAACATGGGAAAGAAATCTGCCAGCATGGCTCGGAAGGATAACACAGGCCATGTTGACTGAGTGTCACAGGAGAGGCTATGAAGCAGCGACCAATAACTTAGTACTAATCTACTAATAGATCTACTCTAATAGATTGATCTGTGAGCAATCCAGCTTTTATCTTTAAATTCTAACCATACAAATCAGTTGAATCTTAGTGAATAGAGGGAAAGAGGGAAAGAAGGCTAGACAGCACTGAAGATCCAAAATCTGATCAGGTGATACAGATATACATACTTTAACAAGATTTAACATTTAAAAAACATCATTTCAGATGGTAATCATCTCATTAGCTACTTTGCTGTAGGGTCAACATAAGAGCAAGGAGAGTTAAGTTTGAGATATCTCTGGGCTTCTGCTTTTAAAACCAAGTTCTTGAGTTCTGGAATATAATAAAGCAGTTAAAGGTGCATTCCAGATCTGGGTTTGAGTCCCAGTACTACATGGTTGCCAGAGCATCATGGATTCATCCCTTGGGGGCACAGCCACCACATGAGGGACATGGGTAACCACTGACACTGTAGGGCCCTGACAGCACTACTTTCTTTTTTTTTTTAATTAGTGGAACACCATAAGGTACAGTTGTAGATTTACAAAGTTTTGTGCTTGGGTTTCGATTATACAATGATCAAATACCCATCCCTCCACCAGTGCCCATTTTCCACCACCATGGATCCCAGTATCCCTCCCACACCCATTCCCCCATCCTCTGTGGCAGGGCATTCCCTTTTGTTCTCTCTCTCCTTTTGGGTGTTGTGGTCTGAAAAAGAGGCATTGAGTGGCAATCATGTTCAGTCCATAGTCTACTTTTCAACATGTATCTCCCATCCTGTGAGGATCCTCCAAACACCCTTTATTTGGTGCTCCCTTCTATATCTGAGCTGCTCTTTCCCCTAGAGTGCCTGTCTGGCCTCTAAGCTATGGAGTAATCCTCCTGGTACTGATCGTGGCTATTCTTGGGTATTAATCTCCTATTTTGTTATTTTATGTCCCCCAGATGAATGCAATCTTTTTATGTCTATCCCTCTCTTTCTGACTCATTTCGCTTAGCATGATACTTTCCATGTGGTACCACTTGTATGTAAAATTCATGACTTCATCTTTTCTAACAGCTACATAGTACTCCATTGTGTAGATGTACCAAAGTTTCTTTAACCAGTCATCTGTTCTCAGGCACTCAGGTTTTTTCCAGATTCTGGCTATTGTAAAGAGTGCTGCAATGAACAAACAAGTGCAGATGTCACTTCGACCATACATCTTTGCCTCTCTAGGATATATTCCCAAGAGTGATATTGCTGGGTCAAATGGGAGCTCAATTTCTAATTTCTTGAGAATGGTCCATACTGTTTTCCAAAAGGGCTGAATCAGTCGGCATTCCCACCAACAGTGAAGGAGTGTCCCTTTCTCACCACATCCGTGCCAGCATCAGTTGCTTTTGTTCTTTTGGATGTGGGCCAGTCTCTGAGGTGTGAGATGGTATCTCATTGTGGTTTTGATCTGCATTTCCCTGATAATTAATGACAGCACTACTTTCTTTTGGTGAGAATTTCTGGTGTGGACTCAGAGTCTCTAGAGTAACAAGTGGGAAGCCGCTCAAACAAGCAACAAGCAAAAACCATGTCCTCAGAATATGAAAGTACAAGTTTTTTTAATCTTGGTGTATTGAGGATTCTTTTACCTAAAGAATAAAAAATAAATTCATGAAACTCTTTGCCATAGTGATTGCCTTATTTTATTTTCTGAGGGAAAAAAAGAGAAACATAGTGTAATTCTTGTGGGTTGGGAGTGGGGATAGAATCCTCAAGACAAGGCACCCAAAGACTGAGGCCCATCCCAGCTGCTTTTGCTGGGAGAGCAATTCTGTGCAAGTATATTGCCCTGTTTTCTGTCCGCACTAATTTTTGTAAGACAAAAATTAATGTCCCTGAAAGTATTTAATTAACTGCAATATGGTATACAACTATAATTATTACTAAAATATTTATCTTGATCTCTGGCTTTACCATCTCTTGAACTTAAGCTGGTAGAGGTATTCCAATTCATCAACATTTAACTAGCAATTATAAAGGTGCCTAATTACAATACATTATTCCACTTTATTAATATAAAAAATAGGTAAAATTTATTGAGTAATAACTACATGTCTGCCACGGGCTGGAGAGATAGCACGGGGCGGGGCGAGGGGGGGCGTGGTATTTGAAAATTATCTGTAATGAACTACTGTGAAATACTTTATGAAAATAAAATGTATAAAAATTTTTTAAAAGTAAGTAGGCTAATTCTAAGAAATCACTTAACATTGTTCAATCCTCAGTAACCAATTTTTGTAAATAAAATATAAAATTTGCGGTTTACAAAAAAAGGGTGCCATCCTGTGTCCTGCCCTGCAGTTCCTGTGCCATCTCCCATTTTGTTTGGGGTCCCCAGGACCCACGAAGTTCCTGCCATAGTCCTATGGAATCCAAAATTGTGTGGACACTAATATGTTCACGTGACAACACCCTTCCAATATCAAGAGATGCTGGTTTTATATATTTTCTAAAAAATGTCTATTTTAACACTTCTTTATGAACAGATATATTAGTGATATTACAGTATGACCAGTGAAGTAACACCCTAAATGCACATATCGTGTTAGGCTAATGGATTATAAGAAGTACTGATTGCTGAAAAAATAACAAATTAGGTCAGCCCTCAGATATCTGGTTCTTAAACTCAAATTTTAGCACCATAAATCTTTAGGAACAATGGTGGAACAAAAGATTTCACCTGCTCTGTCAGACAGGGACAAAATTCCTGGCAAAAGACAGAGCTCAAATAAACCCTCAAGTCTCACTAATGAGGGACTCAAATTAATATTCCATACAATGGCCATGGAACTAGAGCAATCACTGGAAGAAAACTTCAACCAAGTTAAAGAGAAACTTATCCAGGTAACAAAGAGTTCATACAAATGTAATTGAAGGAGTTAAAAAATACAGTAGCAAGTCACAGCAATATAATTCAACATGCAGAGAACTGTATCAATGATATTGAAGATAAAATACTAACCAACACCAACAATGAAGTGGAAAAGAAAACAGATGGAAGAGATGTAAGATTCTTGATAGACAATAGCAAGAGAAATAATCTTCAAATCATAGGAATACCAGAAGGAGACAAATAATGTAAAGAGGAAGACTATCTGGTAAAAGAAATAATAACTAAGAAGTTTCCTGATACCTTGATAGAGGCTCCTGCACAGATTCAAGAGGTTCAAAGAGTTCCAAACAAATTAGACTCAGACAAAAGAATGCCAAGAAACATAGTAATCAAATGGACAAAATCAAGATGAAGATTGCTGAAAAAATAACAAATTAGTTATCTCTTTACTACTTAAAGCAGCAAGAGAGAAAAAAAACCCTCAAATATAAGGGAAACAACTTAAGAATCACAATAGACCTTCCCTATGATATCTTACAAGCCAGGAAAGAGTGGAATGACATATTCAAAATACTGGCTGAAAATAACTTCCAGTCTAGAGTCCACTACCCTGCAAAGCTGTCATTTAGATTTGAGGGAAGAATAAGAACCCTATCAGACAACCCTCTCAGAGCTTGTAGAACTTGTAACAACTAAACAAATACTGAAAGATTTACTGAAAGGCCACTAATTTTAAAAAGGGGAGGTGTAGGATAACTTTGGGTTATCCTTGCTTCTCCCATAAGGAGTTTAGGTTTATTAAGTTACTCCCACAACAATACCCCTGAGGCACACCCAATTCCATCAAACACTAACAATCCTATGTTGCTTTTCTCTTTCCTTTATGTCATTTGCATGGTTTATTGGGCTGGAGCGATAGCACAGCAAGTAGGGCCTTTGCCTTGCATGCAGCTGACCCGGTCGACCAGAGTTCTAATCCTCCACCCCTCTCAGAGAGCCCAGCAAGCTATCAAGAATATCTTGCCCACACAGCAAAGCCTGGCAAGCTACCCGTAATGTATTCAATATGCCAAACACAGTGACAAGCCTCACGATGTTACTGGGCCCACTCGAGCAAATCGATGAACAACGGGAGGACAGTGACAATGATAATGACAGTCCTTTTTATATAGACACAGGAAGACAGTTCATGCTATGCTTGTAACATGGGAGTTAATTTATTCCAAAATAATATTTACTCATGGGCATCCATATTCACTTGACTTACGCCTCAGTTGCCCTTAGTTCCTAGCACTCCAAGAGTAGGGTCCTGAGGAAGGGATTGGATGGACCCCAGGCAAGCTGTAAGCTACCCTGGCATCAAAAGGAAACAAGCTAAGCACCATAAGTGTATTAAGTTAAGAGCTTGGTCATGGACAAACTCAGTCGTGACCCCCCAAAATAAAAAGTAACTGAATAAGGACCTGGCTAGGGTTAGGAAAGATTAACCTGGCCTGAGGACTGTGGTCTGGAATATATAGTGAGATGACTCCAGGAAGAGCCAACCTTTAAAGTTAATACACCTTTTACTGTGTTCATACAAAATGACACTGCACTTGCATGCAGCCCGTGCATGCAATAGAGCACTGGACTGTAGCACTGTCCTCCCGTTATTCATCGATTTTCTGGAGCAGGTACCAGTAACATCTCCATTGTGAGACTTGTTGTTACTGTTTTTGGAATATCAAATACGTCACAGGTAACTTGCCAGGCTTTGCCGTGTGGGCAGAATACTCTGTAGCTTGCCAGGCTCTCCGAGAGGGGCGGAGGAATCAAACCCAGGTTGGCCTCATGCAAGGCAAATGCCCTACTCGCTAAGCTAGAAATATTATAAGAAATAAATTTACTATGATTGTTTAAATGGATTACTAGCTGAGGAAAGGAGAAGGCAATACACCCTGGATGGAATCCCACCCTTGAGTGGATCTCCTAGTAATCTGGAGTGCTAAACCCTCAGATAAGATTTTGTCCTTGAGTTAATTTCCTGAAGGAGTAGCTTTACCTCTGTTTGTTGTTATGATAATGTTCAAGCACACCTTTGTGTATCCCCACCCTTCATGATTTCTATATAACTATGCTGTAAGGGGTAAGAGGGAACTAGAAAGTCCATGACTAGAAGGAGGATGAGAACTAAGGACTGGAGACTACGGGACTTTGAGGACTAGATGATGAGAATGACTAGAAGTAGAGGACCATGAGACTAGGATGAGATGAGGAAAAAAAGGTAACAAGTTAAAGGGCTTTGAGGTCTATGAGGAGACTAGGATGATGGAACTATGATGACTGGGACAACAACCAAAACTATGACTACAATTGTGCAGTAAAGGAGAGGTCAGATGATGCCAGGGAGGAAAGAGAAATAAACTGACTGCCGACAGGCCTGGGGCCCAGTTCCTGTTCCTCCATTCCCCCTGTCCTTCATCCATCTGCCACTGTGGATTGGCCTGAGGAGGTGTCTCTCAGCCACTGAACGCTCAAGTCCCCACGCGTTCCCACACACTTTTTCTTGGAAACTTAGAGGGAGGGAGAGACTCTCCCCAAAACAATGGAAACACAGACCTTTATGTCAATTATCTCTCTGAATGTCAATGGACTAAACTCCCATATATAAGGGCTAAAACTAAAAGACAATTAATTGAATGGGGAAAATATTTGCATTCAACACATCAGATAAAGGTTTGATATTCAGGATATATAAAGTACTCACAAGGATCAACCAAAACAAATCAAAATCCCTATCAACAAATGGGGGGGAAAGAAATGAATAGCAACTTCTCAGAGGAAGACAGGCTATGGCCAGTAGGCACATGAAAAAAATGCTCAGCATCACTTATCATCAGAGAAACACAAGTCAAAACAACAATGAGATACCATCTCACACCAGTGAGAATGGCACATATTAAAATAGTAGGAACAATCTGTGTTGGTGGTGAAAATTGAACTCTTATCCACTGCTGGTAGAAATATTGTCTGGTACAACTCTTGTGCAAAACAGTATGAAGAGTCCTTAGTAAACTTAGAATTGAACTGCCATTTGACCCAGCAATTCCATTTCAAGGCATCTATCCTAGGAGATCAAAACACTCTTGATCTCAAAAAGACATATCACACCATTATTCATTGCTACACTCAGTACAATAGCTAAGATATGGAATCAACCTAGGTGTCCAACAACAGATGAATAGATTATGAACAGGTGGTATATATACACAATGGAATACTATGCAGCTGCAAGGAATGATGAAATCAAGCAATTTGCTGCAACATGGTTAGAACTGGAAGATATCATGTAGAGTGAAGTAAACCAGAAGAAAAAGACAAACACAGGATGATCTTACTTATCTGTGGAATACAGAATAGTGGAAGAGGAAATGTATTGTAGAAAAAGAGGGATGTTTAGATTATCCTTGACCCTTTGATCCCAGTGTTTAGAGAGGAGACAGACAGAAAAGAAAATAAATCAAGTTGGGGGGGTGAGGAGAAGAGAACAGAATTAACGATCGCTTTAGTTATACTAGTGATATGAATGAGGGGTATAGCTGTATACCCAAAACACACATTCAACAGAATGGAAAACATGAAATCTAAATAGCAACCACTGACACTTTGTAATGTGCCTGTCAAGTGGACAGGTGGTAGTTGAGTGGGGGTTGGGATGGGGAAGGAATCTGGGAATACTGGTGGGGAGGAGTTGATATTGGTGGAGGGATTGCTGTTGAATTTTTGCATGCCTAAAGTGCAACTATCAGTAAATTAACTCTGTAAATCTTTAATTAAAAATATTTTAAAGAAAATAAATTACATGTCTTATATCTTATAATATCACTTCTAATTCTTGCACAGATTCCAAGAGACATTTTCTCAATCTTATAGATTAGCAACCTGAGCCTCTAAGATATCAAATAAGTTGCCTACAATAATACAACTGACAAGTGATTGCATCAGAACTTACTCATCCCGAAATTTCTATAACACCAAAGCCCATATTCTCCCCCACTGGATTGCATGTCTCTTCCCCTTTCCTCTGCCTCAAAATGATAATTTCATTAGGCTCACCATAACTTCTCACCATCAGGAATGAAGATGAAGGAGATTCTTGAGGGTACTTGAAGGAGGAAATCTGATTTTCCTTTCTACTCCTAAAAATTTCAATGACCATCAACAAGTTACTTAGATTCCTATATTTCATTTGTGAAATGCAGATGCTTAGCCTGTATGGCTACTGTGAGCAGATAGACAAAGAGCTTTAAGCCTGGACACCATGTTGACAGGCTACTGATACAGGACTACACTCCCAAACCTATAATGCTGACTTCCTCCTCACCAATGCCACACTTGAGGTTATCACAAACTTATTTTACTCTCCTTACTTAAAAAGAGTAAGAGCTCCTGAGCCCCAGTCAGTTCCAAGATGTTTGTTGTTTGTTCTCTCTGTCTCTTCTCTCTCTCTCTCTCTCTCTCTCTCTCTCTCTCTTTCTCTCTCTCTTCCCCCTCTCCTCCACCCCTAATAAATACTATAATACTATTGAAGGACAAAGTGAAAATAGCCTAATAGGAAAGAGGTAGAAGTCCCCTTCACTTTCCAGCAAACATGGTCACAGGACCTTTCAAAGATAGAGTCGCTGACTAGGCTGTTCCACACAAACTAGTGAGTAGACATTTTCTTCTGGGGAAGAAATCACTGATTTAGATACAGATCAGATAAGGAACTGTCCCACGGTAGGTCAAACCTTTTAGTACTCTCAAACAACCACAACCTAATAGCTACCTACTTCATAAAGTCCTTGTAGGAGATGTTTTTCGGTGTGTCTATTAGACTGTCTCTAAATATGTGGTCATTCGGTACAATTATTTATACACACACTCATGCTTATTAAAGTTTCCTTAATCCAAGGGCAGAGAGAGCTAGAAAGTTGATCCAAGTCACTACCTGATGCCAAGTGGTCACTGGCCTGGCTGACATTTCTTCTACATACCACATAGCCTCACAACTTGGCCACATGGCTAGGAAAATTAATGGTCTGGCCTACACACCACATGTCTGATGGCTACAGTGATGCTATTTGGCTGAGAGGTGCACATTTTCTTTTCCTCATCAAGACACAATGTCCAGGGAAGGAAAACTGGTCCAAAGCAATGAAATTGAAAGACTTGACCAAGGAGAACCCCGGCAAGAAGAAACAAAAATGAAGTAAACAGGAAGGAATGATGTGCCTTGTCATCAAAGAGAGGAATTGGATAGTCAATGAAAATTTAAAAGCAAAGACAACAAGAAGGGAGCCAAATGTGGGTCCTTATTGACTAAAGGAATCTTGAGTTCAAGTATTACATAAAACTCTTCCAGAAAATAGAACTGTAAAAATGGTCTAATGCACACTTCTTTATTTTCTTTTTACTTTTTCTTTATTGGATCACTGTGAGATAGACCCTTACAAAGCTGCTCATGATTAGGTTTCAGTCATACAGTGTTCCAACACCCATCCCTCCACCAGTGCACATTTCCAGAACCAGTGTCCCAAGTTTTCCTCCCATCACCCCCCCCCAGCCTGCTTCTATGGCAAACACTTTTATTTTCTCCCTCTCTCTCTCAGTCTCTCTCTCTCTCCCCACCCCCTTTTGTGCATTGAATGCATACTTCTTTATAAAAAGGAACAGAAATAAATAAGAGAAAATATTATTTTTCACATTATGCTCAATTGTACTTGTTTTATTTTTGGTTTGAGGCCACACCCATAGCTTCTCAGGTCTCACTCCTAGTTCTGTGAAATTCCTGATGGTGCTTGAGGGACCATATGTGATGCTGAGTATTATATTCAGGTCAACTGTGTACAAAGCAAGCACCTTACTGACTTCCACCCCGTATCTCTCCAGCCCTGTACTGTACTTTTAAATTGTGTACCACATGCTACCTATGTGTTAACTACTAAAATTTTTCAATTAAATAAACAATAGACATTAAATTTAATTCTTCCTCTAGAAAAACAATACACTGGATATAGATCCCCAAAGACACATTTTTAAGGTCATGATAAAACTATGCCATAGAATACATTCTTCCTTCACTGAGCCACAAAAGTTGGAAATAGTATTTATTAATTAGCAGATATTATTTATTAGTTAGCAGATATCACAAGCATATGAGCTTGCTTCAGTAAACTAACTCATCTTTCTGTGAACTTGTCTCAAAGGCTTCTGAAGAAATAGATGTTAACACCTACTTAATCAAGTATACAGAAATCCTGAATTCAAAACCTAACATAAATCAGTGTTGAAACTATGGGAAATTTACAACTCCAGAACAGTGATCTATTTATTAAGAAAATTGATTAAACACAAAATTGATTAAACAGAAAAATGACCCACCTCTGAAATAAATTCTTCCACAAGGTGCTGGTGATAAGAGCTAGAGGGATCCTGTAGTTCTTCCCTGTATTGTTCCCGCAAAAGATGGATACTGAATTGTGCAATCTGCTCAGCTGCTGGTTGTGTGGATTCTTCTATCAGATCATCAATTTCATTGCTAATCTGGATTTTTAGAGAGAACAATAAATGTCAGTGCTTAACCATTCAATCAGCAAACACTGATTGCCTACAAAGGCTAAACTGAGTACCACGGGTAATTTCTGGTGACCTTTTATAGGCATTATATATTATAGTTTAGAACTAGTTAGGTGAATTTTAAAACAAGCTAATATTAAAATTACTATGCATTTTTACATTCCTTTAAACATACAATGAATGGATCAGAGGAATATACAAAATTCTCCACATATAAACACCCAAGTTGACCATGTGCAAATGAGTATTCTAAAAAAACAGCCCGGAAGGCTAAATTCCCAAACTTTTTGGCTTAAGACCACCCTTTGCACTTGTTTATTGAGCTAATAGTATATCGTACACATTTCAGGTATGCATCATAAACCAGTTCTGGGATATGCCACATTCAGATCACCACAAAATGTCCAATTTCATGTTTCAGTGTAAGATTTCCCCTTTTTCCTGATTTATCCACCCTCCTCAAACCCCCACTTCTCTCTGGTAAGCAGGAATAGGTCATATTAGTCAAAAGTATATTATTTTTAAACAAAGAACTCATAAAGCCAATAATATTCAACAAACAATTATTAAAAATAGAAGTGGATGTGAACAAACAATTCTCCAGAGAAGATACACAGTCAATAGGAACATAAAAAGATGATCATTATCTCTTCTAATTAGGGAAATGCAAATAAAAACAACTGTGAGATGTTACAACTGTCATTCAGCAAATAGGAGATAAGGAAAGTGAAACTGGGGTGACACAGGAACAGGAGGAGACAGTCATGGACACTTCAGTAGTGGTAGTAACTTCAATACCACAGACTTAAATACTACCATAACCAACATAACTCTATTACCTAAACTATAATAATATAAATATTAAGACAAGAAACAATAAGTGTTAGAGAAGACAAGAAGAAGATAGAATCCTTATACACTGTTGCAGAAGTGTGAACTGGTCCAACCATTATGGAAAGCAGCATGGAGATTCCTTAACAACTCAAATAGAGACATTCCAGGGGCCAGAACCTGTAGTACAGTATATGTGTATGTAGTATATAGTATTACATGTATAAGTATGTATATGTGTATATATAGTACAGTATATGTAGCACAGTATACAGTAATGTAGTAGAATGAGTAGGAAACTTGGTGCACTGTGGCCAATCACAATGCCACATATAGTCTCACTTAAGGCCTGCCAGAAATAAACCCTGAGCATTGCTGGGATGATCCAACAACTGAAAAGACAAAATAGAAATTTTAGATGGATAAATGAATAGATAAATAAAAACCTACTTTTGTATTTATCTGAAAAAATACTACTTTGAAGAGACATATGCATCCTCTTGCTTACTGCAATAATATTTACAATAATCAAGAACTGGAAACAATACACATAGATTAGTCAATAGCTATAAAAGATATGGTGTATTTTCACAATGGAATACTATAAACTGTATACAATAAAGGAAAGAAAGAAAGAAAGAAAGAAAGAAAGAAAGAAAGAAAGAAAGAAAGAAAGGAAGGGAGGGAGGGAGGGAGGGAGAAAGGAAAGAGAAAGAGAGAAAGGGAGGGAAGGGGGGAGGGAGGCAGGGGAGGAGGCAGGGAAGGAGTGGGGAAGAGAAAAATCCTGTTATTTGCAACAAGATAAATGGGCCTCAAGAGTTTCTCCTGTTTGGTGAACCGAACAAGAAGGGATGAAATTAACACCATATAATTTCACTATTTGTGGTACAGAGTGAAAAAAAAAAAGATGGACTAAATAAAATTTAAAAGATCAACCAATGGTAAGATAGAAAGGAGGCAGGATAATCAGGACAAAAAGGACAAACATATGTGGAAGGGTAACACTGAACTTTGGCGAACTTAATGTCAGATACAGTAATTTTACTTTCAATGGTGAAGACCTGAAACTTATAGAATGTTTTAATACAATGTTACTTCAATTACAAAAAATAGAGGTCCAGAGCGATAGTACAATGGGGAGGGTGTTTGCCTTGCACGCAGCTGACCAGGGTTCAATCCCCAGTATCCTCTATGGTCCCCTAAGTACCACCAAGCATGATTCCTGAGTGCACAGTCAGGAATAACCCCTGAGCATTTTCGCTTTTTGTGACCCAAAAAGAAAATATACATGTATAGAAAGAAAAAAATCCAGGTCTTCAGTGGCCAAAGTCAAAGCAATTCCAGCCACAAAATGTTCTATTAAAAGAATAAAATTGAGAGCATTCAGCTGAAGAGAAAAACAACATGGAGGGCGGGATCCACAGATCCCGAAGGGAAAAAAAAAAAAAACAGGTTCCAAAAAGAGCCGAGATCATCGGGAAGCCCCAGATGGGGTAGGTACCGCATCCCGCCTCCCCCAGATGGAACCCCGGTGACCAGAAGCCTCTACAACCACAGCTCGAGTATGCGGGAACTTGGACTTTTCCTCAAATCTGCTGGGACTGCAACTCCCAGGTAATCTCAGATTTCGGAAGTCACGCCCACAGCCCGCCCCCCCAGCGCCATATTTACAGCATTCAGCTGAAGAGAAAAACAACATGGAGGGCGGGATCCACAGATCCCGAAGGGAAAAAAAAAAAACAGGTTCCAAAAAGAGCCGAGATCATCGGGAAGCCCCAGATGGGGTAGGTACCGCATCCCGCCTCCCCCAGATGGAACCCCGGTGACCAGAAGCCTCTACAACCACAGCTCGAGTATGCGGGAACTTGGACTTTTCCTCAAATCTGCCGGGACTGCAACTCCCAGGTAACCTCAGATTTCGGAAGTCACGCCCACAGCCCGCCCCTCAGCGCCATATTTACAGCATTCAGTTGAAGAGAAAAACAACATGGAGGGCGGGATCCACAGATCCCGAAGGGAAAAAAAAAAAAAAACAGGTTCCAAAAAGAGCCAAGATCATCGGGAAGCCCCAGATGGGGTAGGTACCGCATCCCGCCTCCCCCAGATGGAACCCCGGTGACCAGAAGCCTCTACAACCACAGCTCGAGTATGCGGGAACTTGGACTTTTCCTCAAAACCGCGGGCCGCGCGACATCTCTCTATATACAAACTGATCCATGGGAAGTAAATGACCCAACGTTTCTCTCTGAAAATCATAGTTAAGTTTGGAGCATGGCCACAGCCCCAGAAACACAAGGACTTAATGCATAACCCAGCAGCTTGGAGCAGAAAAGTGAACGGGCTATGTGTTAATCCAGGCCATCATGACTGTCCGGAGGGGAAAGGGTGTTGCCCCATTTGCCCTCTCCTCTCTGGAAAGAAAGATGGCGGCCACATGGGAGCCTTGTGGACAGCAGGTATGAGCCGGGGGTGTGGGGGCGACTAAAACCTCATGGGAAAGGGGGCGTTCTGGTCCATCCTTCACGCCCTAACAAGGTCACCAGTTGCCCCCCGCGAGAGGGTCTCCAGCACGGCCACGGCCCCAGAAGCACAAGGACTTAATGCAGAACCCAGCAGCTTGGAGCAGAAAAGTGAAAGGACTATGCGTTAATCCAGGCCATCATGTCTGCCCGGAGGGGAAAGGGTGTTGGTCCCTTCCACCCTCCTCCCTCTGGAAAGAAAGATGGCGGCCACATGGGAGCCTTGTGGACAGCAGGTATGAGCCGGGGGAGTGGGGGCAACTAAAACCTCATGGGAAGGGGGGTGTTCCGGTCCGTCCTTCACACCCTACCGAGGTCACCAGTTGCCCCCCACTAGCGGCTCTCCAGCATGGCCACAGCACCAGAAGCACAAGGACTTAATGCAGAACCCGGAAGCTTGGAGCAGAAAAGTGAATGGACCATGCGTTAATCCAGGCCATCAAGTCTGCTGGAGGAGAAAGGGTGTTGCCCCATTCGCCCTCTCTTCTCTGGAAAGAAGGATGGCGGCTGCATGGGAGCCTTGTGGACAGCAGGTATGAGCCGAGGGAGTGGGGGCGACTAAAACCTCATGGGAAGGGGGGCGTTCCGGTCCGTCCTTCACACCCTACCAAGGTCACCAGTTGCCCCCCACTAGCGGCTCTCCAGCACGGCCACGGCACCAGAAGCACAAGGACTTAATGCAGAACCCGGAAGCTTGGAGCAGAAAAGTGAATGGACCATGCGTTAATCCAGGCCATCAAGTCTGCCGGAGGAGAAAGGGTGTTGCCCCATTCGCCCTCTCTTCTCTGGAAAGAAGGATGGCGGCTGCATGGGAGCCTTGTGGACAGCAGGTATGAGCCGAGGGAGTGGGGGCGACTAAAACCTCATGGGAAGGGGGGCGTTCCGGTCCGTCCTTCACACCCTACCAAGGTCACCAGTTGCCCCCCACTAGCGGCTCTCCAGCACGGCCACGGCACCAGAAGCACAAGGACTTAATGCAGAACCCGGAAGCTTGGAGCAGAAAAGTGAAAGGACTATGCGTTAATCCAGGCCATCATGTCTGCCCGGAGGGGAAAGGGTGTTGCTCCCTTCCGCCCTCCTCCCTCTGGAAAGAAAGATGGCGGCCACATGGGAGCCTTGTGGACAGCAGGTATGAGCCGGGGGTGTGGGGGCGACTAAAACCTCATGGGAAGGGGGGCGTTCCGGTCCGTCCTTCACGCCCTACCGAGGTCACCAGTTGCCCCCCGCGAGCGGCTCTCCAGCACGGCCACGGCCCCAGAAGCACAAGGACTTAATGCAGAGCCCGGCAGCTTGGAACAGAAAAGTGAACGGACTATGCGTTAATCCAGGCCATCAGGTCTGTCCGGAGGGCAAAGGGTGTTGCCCCAGTCGCCTTCTCCTCTCTGGAAAGAAAGATGGCGGCTGCATGGGAGCCTTGTGGACAGCAGGTATGAGCCGGGGGAATGGGGGCGACTAAAACCTCATGGGAAGGGGGGCGCTCCGGTCCGTCCTTCACGCCCTACCGAGGTCACCAGTTGCCCCCCGCGAGCGGCTCTCCAGCACGGCCACGGCACCAGAAGCACAAGGACTTAATGCAGAACCCGGCAGCTTGGAGCAGAAAAGTGAACGGACTATGCGTTAATCCAGGCCATCAAGTCTGCCGGAGGGGAAAGGGTGTTGCCCCATTCGCCCTCTCCTCTCTGGAAAGAAAGATGGCGGCCACATGGGAGCCTTGTGGACACCAGGTATGAGCCGGGGGTGTGGGGGCGACTAAAACCTCATGGGAAGGGGGGCGTTCCGGTCCGTCCTTCACACCCTACCGAGGTCACCAGTTGCCCCCCGCGAGCGGCTCTCCAGCACGGCCACGACTCCAGAGCACAGAAACCAATTTCTTAACTATCTGACTTTCAGTAGAAATACTTCCAGGGTCAATAAGTAAAATAGCAGAAATCCAAAACCAACATATAATTCTTGAACCCAGCTGTAGAAAGCAAATCACTTCACAATGCTTTGTCAGCATGTCTGATTCGGGGGGGGGCGGGTAAACTCTAAATAATAGTGGTGAATCTTTTATTGAAACAATGAATCTAATCAAAGCAGATAGAGTGTTAACTAGAATTCATCTGCCCCACAGGGACTGGGAGGGGTGGAGGGTGGGGTTTTATTGGGGTTCTTCATGGTAAAAAATAAGTTTTGGTAAAGGGAAATGTGCTTGATATTTGCATGACTGAGACCTAAACCTGAAAGTTTTGTAACCTTTCCCATGGTGATTCAATAAATAAATTAATTAATTAAAAATAAAAAAAAGAATAAAATTGATACATCCAAATTCATACTCATATCTGTAACTTATTTAACAAATAAAAGAAAATTTCATCTACTACATTTTACACTTAAATATTAACAAAGCATTGTCATCCCATTATTCATCGATTTGCTCGAGCGGGCCCAGTAACGTCTCCATTTTGAGACTTGTTTTTACTGTGTTTGGCATATTGAATACGTCACGGGTAGCTTGCCAGGCTTTGTTGTGTGGGCGAGATACTCTTGGTAGCTTGCCGGGCTTTCTGAGAGGGGTGGAGGAATCAAACCTGGCTCAGCTGGGCTGGCTGCGTGCAAGGCAAACGCCCTACCACTGTGCTATCGCTCCAGCCCTACTTAAATATATTTATATCTAAACACAAATAAATGTACAGTTATATGAAAAGTAGACCAAATATCAAAATATCCAGATAATCAAGGAAATAAAAATTGAACTAATAGTACTCATTAGCAACAATAATAGTGAAACAAAACCTTAAAAAAAAACCTCAGTCATAATTCAATCTGATTTAAGATATATCACTCTAGTGTACATCATCCTAGAATAAGAATGATTAAAAAAAACCTCTAGGTGATCAAAAACCAAGATTGTTTGAGAAAACCTTATTACAATAGTATCAGAAGCATATATTTCAAAAGGAAAATTATTCCAGGAGAAAAAATAATTTCTAAATTAATTGATCAATTTCTAAAACACAAAGAAATAACAAAATAAAATAGTAAATGTCTAAAAATACTATTTTACACAAACTGTATGAAACAGATATATTAACTCTTAGTTTGTGAACTTTAGCTCAAAGGACTAGAGTGCATCCCTTGCTTTTGCAAGACCACGTGGTCCCCTGAGCAACAATGCACATGACCCAGGTGGTCTGGACTACTGCCAGGGTACTCCCCAAAAATAAATTAGTAAATTTTTTATTAAATAAGAACTACAGAAAAAAAGAACAAAATAACACTAAAAAAAACAAAAATATTGATATAAACCAGTAGTGCAATCATTGGAAGGAGAAAGATAAAGATTTTTTAAAACTTAAATTTGGCTAAATATTTTTTATATTTTATTGGATAACTAGTAAAAATAAATGAGTACATAATTTCCAAAATGGTAGATGGGAAAGCGTATTATTAAAAACATTGACCTGTAAAACTCTATCTTAAGCTTCATTTTGAACCAGAGGTCCAAGCAACCTAACTCTCATTAAATCTCTCAATCTGGTTTTTGTGTCATTTCATTGACTATTAGAGGCCTTCTCTGGCTGAAAGAAAAGTTTTTCTAGGCTCTCCAAAGAATCCCTTTTAAAATCTGCATTTCCTTAGAGGCAACTATATGATGTGTATTGTAGTTCGGCAATGGAATAAAAATCTCTCTCAACCCCTGTTCTTCATGTTAAAAAAAAAATACTGAAAACAAAATGCAACTCACACTCTCCTCTGGTTTCTCCAGGTTGTCGTCTGAGGTATCTTCATAGGAGATCACATCTGGATATGGAACCCTGAGAACTGTACCTAAGTAGAAAGCAAAAAAACATGTGTCTGAATTCAGTCCCCAACAAAGTTAAAATTTACAGTAGGAAACAAAGAACTCTGTCAAAAATCATTTCTATAAGTCATATTTGCCTTTTCTTCCTGGAAATTGAATGCATTCTAACCTCAAGACAGTTGCACAGTCTTTCCAGAATAAGAAATAATTATGACTTCATTTGTTCAATTAATAAGCATTTTTTGAGTGCCTACTCTATCAGGCTTTACACAAGACATTTAGGATATGTGTGTATGTACATGTATATTTGAAATTTCTAATACAAAATCTTTTCCAAACTATTTTTTAAAACATCACAAATTTACAGAAAATAGGACAAACGATCATGTTTAAAGAACACTACAGAATATGATCAGAAAAGATTTTATTCTGAGAAACATTATAAGACTGATCATCAATGGTAATGCTAGGATAGGCTCAATCTTTTTCCATAGCATAAATTACAAGTGCTTGCTTTACAATATATAGGTTATACGTTTGGTTTTGACCTTGTTTTAATAAGGGTTGCTCCTTAAGATGCCATGCTTGTGCTAGTCATTAATTTGCTTTAAGTGATTTTCTGAGTTGTATTGTATTTAATAAACATTTTAAGTACAATATAATTCCATAAACATAATAATCAAAAGTATAAGCAAAAATTAAAATTGCTTGAGGCTCCTGAACAATATATAAAGAGAAAGATACTAGATGTTTTCATAATTAAATGAGGTCACCCTAGCAGTGCTCAGAGGATGCCGTGGCTGCTCCCAGAAATACTTCTCCCCTCCAGGTGGGAAGGTTCAATGCTGGGACCCTGCACAGTACTGGGGGCCACCAAGGGCACACCTGAAGGGCTCAGAATTCTGGGGGTGCTTAGAGACCCATGTAATGTTGGGGGGTCTAACTTTTGTCTTTGTATTTGCAAAGCAGGTGCTCCTAATCCCTAAACTACTATATATATATATATATATATATATATATATATATATCATGGTCACGGTCCTCCCATTGTTCATCAATTTGCTCGAGAGGGCCCAGTAACATTGTGAGACTTGTTACTGTGTTTGGCATATCGAATATGGCACAGGTAGCTTGCCAGGCTTTGCCACGCGGGTGAGATACTCTCGGTAGCTTGCCAGGCTCTCTGAGAGGGCCGGAGGAATCGAACTCAGGTCGGCCATGTTGGCCGCGTGCAAGGCAAACGCCCTACCTGCTGTGCTATCGCTCTAGCCCATATATATATATTTATATATATATTTACACGGCAGAGTCTGGCAAACTCCCCGTGGTATACCCAATATGCCAAATACCAGTAACAATGATGGGTCTCATTCTCCTAACCCTGAAAAAGCCTTGAATATGGCACTTTAAAAAAAAAAAATCTCAGGGCTAGGACGAAGAAGACGTTACTGGCACCTGCTCGAGGCAATCGACGAACAACAGGGTGGTCGTGATCGTGATATATATATTTATATATATTTATATATGTATATATTTATATATATTTATATATGTACATATATATTTATATATTTTTATATATTTATATATGTACATATATAATTTTTTCAATTAAAGATACATAATTTACAAAGTTATTGAAAGGGAAGTAATGGGAACAGGGGTCAAGAGCCTCAGTTATGGGACTGGAGTGATAGCATAGCAGGTAGGGCATTTGCCTTGCATGCAGCTGACCGGGGTTCGATTCCCAGCATCCCATATGGTCCCCTAAGCACTAGAGGAGTAATTCCTGAGTGCAGAGCCAGGAGTAACCCTTGAACATCACTGGATATGACCCAAAAAGAAAAAAAAAAGAGCCTCAGTTATACCAAGAATGTGGAAGAGTGCTGTAAGTATTGTTTTGTTGTTTCTTTGGGTTTTATTTTATTTTTTTTTTTTTGGTAACAAAGAAGTTTATTAGCATCATAGCAGGCTGGACTTGGGAAGGATCCAGCACTCAGGCAACTGGACAGACTATGGTGGGACAAGTGGTGCACAGGGTCGGCGGGTCTCCAACAGAAGACTCCATTCACACACCAGCTTCTTTCTTTACAGGAGAAAGTTCCAGCTTGGGAGAAGTGGGCTGGGGAGGGACAGGGCAGCGAGGTACCAGGTCCAGGGCCCAGATGTTCAACCCATGGGACAGTCTGGGCCAACCCTGGCTTCTGAGCCTAATTTTAACATTTCAGATTTTCACCCTGAGCTCATCTGTACTAAGATTTTCTTTCTCTACTCTTTTTGAAAGCATTTTCACTAACAATTAGCCGAAAGTGTGAGGACAGAGAACTTTCTCTTTCTAAGGCTTATATCTGAATCAAGAGTGGAGAGACCAGGCACCAGGAGCTTACAAATGAGAGGGCCCAGTGTCCGCTGAGAAAAGGTATAACTGCAAAGGGGAATAATACAGTTTTACCTCGGTGAATGTTAAGATTTAACCAGTTCACAAAATATTTAACACAGAGAGAAAAATTAACGTTGTTGTTTCAGTGATTAGTCTTGTTGCATGATGGCTGTTGCAGATGAATTTCACACTGGAAAAAGCAGAATTGGAAAGCAGTTTGCTAAGATGGGCCTCTGCATCCTGCTGGGACTCTTGGTCTCAGAAGCTGTATGAGAGAAGATGGAGCTGGTGTGGCTTTTCTTCCTACCCGTATGGTAGGGGACACGCACAAAGATCAGGAGCCTATTAAGGAATCACCACAGCAATGCCAGGAAGCTGTTCTCAGCCAGCTGGATATTCCTCGACAGACCCAAACTTGTCACTGTTCCTATGGACTGGACTCACACTTCAAATCCACAAGGGAAGGACGCCTTAGTGATCCCCACTTAGCACTCAGTGTTATCTTTGTAGAATTCCCAAAGGTGGTCTCAAGTGTCTTCAGTTGGCTCTTGGAGGCTCTGGAGTTGGGGTCTCCAACGAGAGTGATGTTGAACCAGATTCCTTGCAGGAATCGAAACTATTGTTGTTGTCTGGGGCCTCATCCTGCATACTCAGGACTCGCTTTTGGCTCTGTATTCTGGGATCACTCCTGGCTGGGTTTTAGAGACCATATTTGGTGCTGGAACTGAGCACCAAGTACCAAGCTGGGTACATGCCAGGCAAGCACCTTCTCTGCTGTGCTGTCTCTCTGGCCTCACTCATGTCCAAGTTTAGGACTCATGGAGCAGCAACAATGTCAGCACCTGTAGCAGCTTGTGTTCACAGTGATCTTATTGGGTTGATGTTGAAGACTCGAGTCACCATTGCATTGTCTTCTCTTGTAGGTGACATCCAGCTGCAGCCCCCATGCAAGCAGGCAGTCAGGTTCCATTGACACTGTGACACTGTCCACAACCACCCAAGGTTACACCCTTAGTTACTCGCTGCTCCCTGAAACCTAATATCCTTTTTTTTTTCTTTGCAGTGTCTTATTTTAATTTTTCCATACCTGATATTTTTCAGATGAGAGCTGCAAAGTGTGCTTGCTTATCTGCAAAATTGTCTTATATTGTAAATAAGCATAAAAGGAATATGAATAAAAGCACAAAAGCATACCTGTCAATGCTGAGTCATCACCAAGAGGAGCTGAGGATAACAATTCAGGGCTAAGGAAAAAAATATTTACCATGAATAAAATAATAGAACTGTGAGGGCTTATCAGGGGATTTGTTTTCCATGAAGAAAATCCCTGGCTCTTCAAACAAGACTTCCGAAATCATATTGCTAAGTAACAATGTTTTTGAAAAGGTAAGAGTCTTCACAGTACATTAATTTTATGTTGATGCCAACTCAACTAAAATAAACCCACGTACTATTTCATTACCCCTTTTCATTTCTTCTCAATTCTAATCATGATGTTTATGAGGGCACAGTCTTATAGAAAATAGGCAATAAATTACTACGAGTGCACAAATAGTACAGACAGGAAAGGGAATATGTAAGTAGATATCTCACTTGACTGAAGAGATAATAGAAATTATAAACCTTTTATCCCAAGGAAATATAGGGAGGGAAAGCCTAGAAGTGACCTGCTATTGGTCACACTGGTAGCATGCTTCTGATCTCCCAATGAGAGAGAGAATGAGGGCTGGATTCTCAACCTCAAAATTCTTCAGAGAACCACTAAATTCCTCAGAGAACCTCTGAGTTCCTCGGAAAACCACTAAATTCCTCAGAGAATTTACCGCCAGACAAAATACCACCTAGTTTACAAATCCTTCAGGGTAAATTAATCAGGCTTTTTTTTTTCTTTCCTCTGTGTGTGTGTGTGTGTGTGTGTGTGTGTGTGTGTGTGTGTATGTGTATGGCGGGGGAGATGGGTACACCCAACTGAATTCAGGGCTTACTCCTGGCTCTGTGCTCAGGGATCACTCCTGAGGGGCTCTGGAGACCATATAGGGGCCAGAGATTGAAACCAGGTCTGCCATATGCAAGGCAAGTGCTCTACCCTCCAGCTCCTAAACGTCCTCCTCAGCACAAGGCAGGGGATAATTTCTACCTCTGCTACTTCCGTGTTATTAAGCAACCTGTCCATTTATACAACCTTTCTGGAATGACGGTACTGAGCGACTCTGCCATCCTGTGTGGCCGCTGATCTCCATTAGGTATGCACTGCCTATTGCATTAAGGAACACAAATGAACCCAATTTCTTTTCTTTCTTTTACTTTTTATTCAAGAGCCATGACATACAAAGTTATTGATAGTTGAATTTTAGGCATGTAACAATTAAACACTGGTCCCTTCACCGAATTTCAAGTACAGTTCTTGGACTCAAGTTCAGCACCTCCAGGCAACAGACGGAAGAGTTTCCATACTGGATGAATGCTTTTGAATTCAGAGTGAGAGTTTATACCTATAATCCTCTCTGCAGGGAGCCAGTCAGGAAACTATTCTGTCCACTACTTTCTAACCTCAACAAATTGCCTTCTCCAATAAAAGTAGAAAAATAAAAAACAAGAAAAAAGAGTACAGGCCTCTTACAATTTTTCAATTTCTAGAGAACCAAAGAAATTAGATCTCCATAACACCAGCTATGCTATGCCATCCTGCAACTACAAGCAGAGATCAGAAAGGGTTACAAGATAATCTAAAAAAGCCCCTGGTCTAAAGGAAAGAAAGGGCACTGTGCAAATTCAATTTTCATGTAATTCAAAACATTACAGTAATTGGATAAACTTTTAAAACTTTTGCGTTTTGTGACCTGAAGTGAAAGGACTGTTCCCTAAAGTTTTCTCAAAGGAGTTGAAAAGAATGGGATCAATTTTCAGCTCATAGCAACAGGAAACTCTTGTTTAACACAAATTAGTTTCAAGGATCCTCACAGATTTACCAATATGCCAGTGAGCTACATCTTTAAAACAACTCTTTTAGAGTGGCAGTGCGTGGGCAGCAGCTACGGTGGCTGCAGAGCTGATGAAAAACTCCTAAATTTCCTTTCTCTGGAAGTAAAGTAGAATTTCTTAAGAACATAATGGATGGAGAAAAGAAAATCTATGGTGGCTGTGAAGGTTCTGACGTCCAATTACTATCCTCTGATGGCCATGAGTTTACTGTCGATTATTAGTCGTCGATTGCCTCGAGCAGGCCCCAGTAACGTCTCCTTCATCCTAACCCTGAGATTATATTCAAGGCTCTTTAGGAGAATGAGACCCATCATTGTTACTGGTATTTGGCATATTGGGTATGCCATGGGGAGTTTGCCAGACTCTGCCGTGTGGGCAGGTTACATTCGGTAACCTGCCAGTTTGTCAAAGTAGGAATGAGATGTCATAATAAGATGAGTTTACTGTATAAAGAGAAAAGACGCTAACATCAGTGAGAAACAATAAAAGCCATGTTGAATGGCCCTTTTCAGTCTGTGGACAATGAAACCAATTAAGTCAATTTTACGGATATCCCTTCACATGTGCTCTCCAAAGTATGCATGTATTTAACCTACTGGGTTGTTACCCTAACAGCCTGATTGAGATTCCTGAATCCCCAAATGCACCTGAAACTGCACTCGAACTGCTGGTGGCTGCATTTCCTGCTTGTTAAATAAAATCAATTATAATATAAATAAATAAATAAATAAAACAACTCCTTGCTGTAAAAAATCAGGTCGGAGAGGGGTGGAAAAACTCAAAGCCAACAAACATGAATACACTGATCTTACTAAAAGCATTGACAGATAAGGTAGCTAACAAGTGAACACTGACATATAATTTTAAACATACATAATGTTTAAGCAAACATGGCTATATTATGGAAGAGAATATAAAGTTTAAATAAATGTTAATTGATAAAATATGATCTGGAGTGAGGAGACAACTAGGGCCACTGTACCCTAAGGCCCCAAGTTTTGTTTTCGGTTTGATTTTTGGTTTTTGGGTCACATACCCAGTGATGCTCAGGAGTTACTTCTGGTTCTGCATTCAGGAATTAGTCCTAGTGATGGTCAGGGGACCATATAGGATGCCGGGTATCAAACCCAGGTTGGCTGCATGCATGGCAAGTACCCCACCTGCTGTAGGGCACCTACCTACTATTATTACCTGGTCCCTAGACCCCCAAGTTTTGGTATAAAACCCCCACTAACTCATTTAATGCTAACCAACAATCTCAGAGGAAGATACCATTATTCTTATTTATACATATGAGAAACCATAATAGAAGAGGTTAAAAATTTGCTTTGGTAGAAAATTTGAGAAAAACAGATCTAAATTTTTTCACTGTAAAGATTATTCTGGCTTTTCAAAACACTGGGAAGACTAAAGCACGAAACCATTATACCAAAGCTATCCCTACTAGCAATTTACATTGCATTTACAGGAAATTGCTTACTAAGTAAAATGTCATCTGCAAGAATCTAAGGAAATATGTCATCTAGATAAGGCTTGATGAATGATGAGCAGAAAAAGACTTGGGGGATGAGAAAATATCAAGAGGCTTCTTGGGTTGCAGGAGAGAGCGCTTTAAAAAAATAAAAGGGGAGGAATTCAGATGAATTTGGAACAGACATTAACATAACCAGGCCTGAATAGGGTCTATCAATTATCCACAATTCCAAATATCTCTATTTTATAGTGAAAAAATTAGGTCCAGATGGGTAAAAGCAATTTTCCAAGGTCAGGCAGTGATTTGATATGGCCCAAAGCCATGCTTAAAATTCTTTTCCATATCCAATATCCTTTTCAATAATAAAAGTTAAAACTAAATTTATTATATGTCAAGCAATGTGCTAAACGCTTTATTTTGGTTAACTCATTTAATGCTAAGCTATGACCTTAAGAGGAAGACACTGTTATCCCCATTTATACGTAGGAGGGAACTTAGGCTAGAAGTGGTTAAGAATTTCCTCAGTGTTACACAGCTCATCCACTGGATTCCAGAAATCTCACTCTTACTACCTTAATATCTTAGGACATAGCCTTTAAGTAACCCATATTCTCTAAAAGAGCAACAAGAAATTCTCTTGGTCTCAATGATACAGCCTACATAAATCACACAATCTAAAGGTCAAAATATGTGAAGTTTCAGAAAGAAGAAGAGAAAACCTAAGTGAGAGTCAGAGGATGACAGAGGGAAATAAGGCATGAGGAGCATTTAGGACAAAGTTGCTCACTTCAGTGCAATCAGATTTCACTTAACTAATTCAAAATAACCTCCCCTGCCCCCAGCCTAGTAAAACTAACTTAGGCCATCTATCAAAGAAAACGAAACCATTTAAATGATAGCAAGAAGGTAACTCAACACTTCAACTCATTTGTCTAATATGCCAACACTTGATCCTTCAGCTTTCCACTCTCTTTAAAAAGTAAAGAACAAAACAAGAACCCTTTCACATTAGGTCTGCCTCCTGCAGGGATGTCTGAGATTGTCACAACATAACTAGAATACAGCCCTGTATTGACACTGGAGTCATAAATGCCCCTTCACTTCTAAGCCAAACCACAAATTTGAAGTTGTTTAGCTAAGACCTTTAGCTTAAGACCAACAGCAAACAACCCCCTACTGTCTCATTTCCCCAGCTCATCTAGCACATAATTTATTCCTCGCCACCACTCCTCGTCATGTCAGTGGAATTCAGGTGGGAGTATGTCAAAAGATATTACAGCCACATGGAACACAAATTTAAAATCAGAGCAAAACAAGCCAAGCACAATTTTACACATAGATTCATACTAACCTTGACATTTAAATTTTCTATTCTATGCTTATCTTTTAAGTCCGTTTACTGTAATAAATTTGTGAGGAAAAAAAAAAAAACTCAAAGCAGAAGCCAGGAATCCTTGGTGCTAAACTCAGGTGTATCATTAGCTTGGGGTATGACTTGGATAAAAACTCTATTTCCCTGGGCTTTAAGAACCTACTGTCTAAAGTATAAGTACCACTCTGTTTCACAAAGGTGTTGACAAAGACCAAATAAAAATTATGTGCAGTAGCTGGAGCGACAGCACAGCAGTAGGGCATTTGCCTTGCATGAAGCCGGCCCAGCCGAGCCAGGTTCGATTCCTCCGCCCCTCTCGGAGAGCCCGGCAATCTACCGAGAGTATCTTGCCCACACAGCAAAGCCTGGCAAGCTACCTGTGTTGTATTCGATATGCCAAACACAGTAATAACAAGTCTCAAAATGGAGACGTTACTAGGCCCGCTCAAGCAAAAATCGATGAACAATGGAAGGACAGTGACAGTGACAGCATTACGAAAAGTATAAGGTGGTAAACAGACAAAAAAGAAAAAAAGGAAATATTTGCTTCAAAAATGTATATTTGGAGCCGAGAAGTTAGTATATGGTGGTCAAGATGTCTGTGCTGCATGTGGTAAGCCCAATTCAGTCCCCAGTACCACAAGGTCTCCCGTGTCTCACAGAGCACAGGCCTGGGATGCCCTCATGCATCCCCCAAGGTGGCCCAGGTAATCCCAAACCCAAATACCTGAGCAGTATTGCATCCTTAGGCCCTTGTATTGAACTGAGGGCCTTGTTAGGTAAGAATTGCTGGAAGGGGTTTCCAGATCTGCTGAATACCATATAGGAGACCACTTCTTCTTCAAATGTATAATTGAAGTACAAAAAAAAAAAATATAATATAAAATAAAATAAAATCCCAAAGAAAATCCTTCTACTGAGAATATCAGCAGGTACCTTATAATAGATTTTGGCGATTGAGCAGAAACGTGGTTCTTCATGAAACAAAAACTTAGTGAACATATATTTTAGGCCAAGTCATATTGGTTACTAAGGCTACAACAATAGGATCAGATGGTAGGGTGCCAGAGAGAACTCAAAGGATTAAGTTTTGAATCTGATGGCAGAGTATTAAGGAGCAAACTGCAGCTATACGGGATGCTTACAGGATGTCTGGCTGTAATGAAGACATGTGCTGGAGGAGAGTAAATTAAGTAACATGGAAGAGACTGGAGCATGTGTATGTGCCAATGGAAATAATAACAATGAGAGAGATTGAAGACCTGGGGGGAGGGAAACAGTATCAGTTTGTAAAGGCAAAAGGTATCATAACAAAAACAACAACAAGCAGAAGTAATCTAAAAGGTCTGATGAAATGTGAGATCCTAAGTGATAAGGATAATGCTTTTTAGAAAAAAACCTTAGCCAATGATAAGGAAACTTAAAAGTCCTTGGTGTTAGTCATAACAGCAAATGCTACAATTCACCTAGAAGCAGTGAGGAATTAAGCAAAGAGGAATTAGGGTCACAGATGGACTCAAGGCTGCTAATCAGCTGGTTTACCTAGGTGGGCCCCGTGTAGTAACAAAGATCTTTAACGTAAAATACATAAAAGTGGGGTGTCAAAGTAAGAGACCGAGAAAATGTCATTGGTGAGAGAAGATAACCACATAAAGAGAACATACCACACAATGTGGGTGGCCTCTAAAAGCTAGAAATGACAAAAAATCAAATTCACCTGCCACCTCCAAAGAAGGAACCAGAATTCGAGACCTTTGTGAGACATACATTTGCACTGTTCCCAGTTATCAAGTTTATATTAATTTGTTACAGCAGCAACAGAAAACTAATGTAAGACTCTCTTAACAGAATACAAAAATAATGTCTAACCTTCATAAAAATTAATTTAAATAAAGAAAAGTGATGGACAGATTAAGGGTTTTCATGGATCTCTATAATTTTCAGGTTGGGTAAGATTATGTTTAGTGAATTCCTAGGCTTTACTTCCAGTATTGCTCCCCCGGCCCATTTAGCAACTGACCATAGCCAGCAATTTTCAGTCCACCCCAACGTGAACTGTTTCAGTTCATGAGAAAGACACTAACTTAAATTTAAAATTCCACTCCAACTTTAGTTCATATGTATTCTTATTCTTACTCTGTTCATCACCTTATTTTCTAAGAACAGTATTTAGTCCTCTTCTTAGGCCTACTGTTTTATCAGTACATATGATAATTGAACCATGATGCATAGTTGTGAGTCTATCCCAATGTAATCAATACATTTGTAAATATTTGAGCACAACACAAATATTGTTTTTGCTTACAGGCAACTTCATTGTGAGAAACACTAAAACACTGACCCAGTTAAAGTGAACTACAGAGTAGTTCAAAACACACACATAAGCTTACGCACACACGATAACTCAAACATCTCCTCAGCTACCTCAGTTCACTCCATGTGTTATGAGCCTCATCTCTCTCACTTGGTACCATACCTGCCTGTCCTGTTCCAGATAGCCTCCTTCTACCACTTGACAGTAACTCCTAGCTACACTATTTGCAATGTCCACTTTCAAAGAGCAAACATTTATGTTTCTTTCTGCATAAGAGTTGTATGTATTATGACCTATGTATTATGGTTGTTACACACTTCAATGCCTAAAATACGATTTTCAGTTATGAAGCTATAGGAAATAGTGGACTTAGTTGAATCCCTCTAACTATATGGTGCATGGAATTGCAAGGAACCTTTCTCTGAGAACTACCTCTCAGGAGCAAGAGCCCACACCCAAGAACCACATAGCCTCAATCTAGGGTCTCAGTCCCAGGCCCCCCCCCATATATTCACCAGGATCATTAGCTTTATGAATGAAATCACAAAATTCCACTTCCTTCACAGGAAGTGCTTACATAAGTCTAACTACCATCCATGTGTATACTCCAACTGTGCTTTGGCCTAGACACTGATGCCCCGGCTGGAACTCTGAATAGTGACTTATTCACTTGGTTTTACAATCTATCCTTCCCTCTCATTTGAAATAAAAATTCTGGACTCTGACCTATAGTGCATGCCATAAGGGTGCTTTTCTACATAATCACCGACAAACTGATCTCATGTGTGAACACCCAGAGCCTGGACAGAATTGGAAATCCTTAACCCCTGTAGGCTCAAAATCCTTCACCTTCCATAATCTACTTTGCACTGCTCCAGTTTGGGATCCAGAAATAACCTTAAACCCAATCTTAAGGTCAACTGAATCAAGAATCATAACACTGGAAGATGCATCAAGAGTGTACTATTTAAAGATCAAATCACCGACATTCAATGAAATGATCCACGCCTCTACCAATCATTTAATAAGCTATCCCCCACCAAGGAGTACCATTTCAGAACAATTTTACCATAACAGATAATCCTCAACAATAGCAGACCACCCCAAATTCCATTTCCAGAAATCTGTTTTCTCACCCATGGGAGAATAACAAGTCTACCTCCTAGGAAAGTCAGACAGTAAACAAGCACAGTGGCTGTGAGGGTGGTCTGGAAGGAAAGTGGCCACAAGGTGAGGAAAAGCATTTGAGACTTACCCACAGACCCGGTCACTGCAAGGACTGGCAAGAAAAAAGAAAGGGACTATTAATTGCATCTTGGAATAGGTATGATACATTTTTGTTGCCAAATATGAAGTAACAGAGGGAAAAAGACGCTCACCTGCTTACAGTGTCCTTTGTGTATGTCAGTTTCTAAGGAAAACAAAGGTGTAAAAATGACTCCATGTGTTCAGGACAGTTATTAAGCAGTAAATAAAACATAGAGAATATTACAGAATCAACTGATTATTCTCTATGATTAAACAAATAGGTAGAGCAAGGTATTAGTCATGCCAAGTTTGCTCTATGATTGTAGCAACATCCCTACACTCACTCTGTTTAGGGCACAGACTTTATGTGCTTCTCTCTTAAAGGAAACAAATTCCCTAAAAAAATAGAGGAAAGGGCAGTTCAGATAGAGAAGGGAGCACCAAATAAAGGATGTTTGGAGGATCCTCCCAGGAGGGGAGATGCATGTCGAAAGTAGACTATGGACTGAACATGTTTGCCACTCAATGCCTCTTTTGCAGACCACAACACCCGAAAGGAGAGAGAGAACACAGGGGATTGCCCTGCCACAGAGACAGGGGGGATGGGGGGATGGGGGTGGGAGGGATATTATCCATGGTGGTGAAAAACGGGCACTGGTGGAGGGATGGGTATCTGATCATTGTATAATTGAAACCCAAGCACAAAAAAAATTGTAAATCTACAACTGTAAAAAAATAAATAAAAAAAAAATTTGTATCTTTAAAAAAAAAAAAAATCCCAAAATAGTTAAATATTGTTAGAGTTTTATACTAATGTTCCTTGGACTTATAATCAGGTATTTTGTGATATGCTCTAATATATTTATAGTGACTATCCTAGAATAATGGAATAATGAGGATAAAATAACTGATGAATCTTTTCTCAGAATTCAGGAAAAAACAACAAATTGTGTGACTGTATTATTCTTCGTAGGCCCTCCAAAGCAAAAATAATTTCCAGGTTTCCCCCAAATTAGTGTTTTTGTCTTGAGATCAAGATGATAAAAAGAAAAACTAACTTGGAATCAAATTACTTAGTTTCAAGTCCCTAGCTTAACCATAGGTAAATATCAAAACCCAAAAGAAAAACGACAACAACAACAAAAAAAAAAACTTTTAAATAAAATGGCTAATGGCTGAAGACGTAATACAACAGATGAGACACTTGCCTTGCATGCAGGGAAACCTAGATCAATCCCTGGTACCGCCCCGGGCCCTGCTAGGAGTGATCTTCGAGCACAGAACCAGGAGTAAGCTCTGAACAAAGCCAGGTGTGGCCCCAAACCCAAAATTAAAAACATAAATATAATGAAATGGCCAGAGCTTGGCTGCAAAGATTAGCTCTTGTTCTATAGTAGCTCATCAACCAGCCAGGTTTAAAACCTAAGGAATGCAAGGACTAGCTACTTGTTCCTCATGCTTCCTTTTTCCCTTAGCCATGCGAATACATTCCTAAAACAGTCCAGCATTTTATCCCCGTGTTATCCCACATACCTTGATAATTAAGTGTCTATGTTCTACAGACTGACTGAAATTTGCGGCCATTTCAGATACAGTTGTGATTCCATGTTGACACAAATCCATCCAGTAATGGTATTCTTCATGCCCAGGGAGTCGATCCCAGAAAGTCATGAAGGCTTCCCAGATAGCTTCTTGACACACTGAAAAACAGAAAGCTGTTTTCAGAGAAACTAATGGACATTGGGGTTCTCAAAAAGACCGTGGAGGGACTACAGTGATAGCATAGCAGGTAGGGCATTTGCCTTGCACGCGGCCAACGCGGGTTCCATTCCCAGCGTCCCTTATGGTTCCCTGAGCCCCGCCAGGAGTAATTCCTGAGTGCAGAGCCAGGAGTAACCCCTGTGCATCGCTGGGTGTGACCCAAAAAAGAAAAAAAAAAAGACTATGGATCTGTTTGTTCAGAATCCTGAGACTCTCCTGGCCACTATCCTTTCTGGAGGGACACAGAAATGATTCTCAGTTAAAGTCTGTCTTAACTCCGTATGTGCCATTTAAATATTTCAGATCTACAAATAACTTACACATCTCATAACTTCCTTCTTACAAAAGGTACTCATTTACTTCTTAATACATGAGGTTAATTTTTCCTTATTTCTTAAAAATATCTATCTTTATTGTTCACAAAAGTGGAATTGAAGAATAGTATATACTTCAATAGGTAAATGAATAAATTGTGTCAGATCCTTGGCACTGCACATGGTACCAAAGCACAGTCAGGGGTCACTCCCGAGCACAGAGCCAGGAATAGGCCCTAGCTCTACTGGATGTGCCCAAAGCCTTTAATTAATCAATTAATTAATTAATTAATTTAAAGCTGGAGAAAACCCAAATATTTAAAGACTAAATGAGGCTATAGGATCCATGAGGAAATTAAGGATTAAATTATTGGAAACAAATGAGAATGAAAACATGAATTATCAGAACATATGAGATAAAGCAAAAGCAAAACTCAGAAGGAAGTTCATAGCAATACAGGTTTATTTTGAAAACAAACCAAAAAAAAGATCTTGAAAATAAAACATATGAAAACAAAAATCAGCATAGTGAAGAAAATAACTTGAAAAGGAGTGGAACACAACACCCGAAAGGAGAGAGAGAGCAAAAGAGAATGCCCTGTCACAGAGGTGGGGTGAGGTGGGGGGGATGAGGTGGGGGTGGTGGGAGGGATACTGGGATCATTGGTGGTGGAGAATGGGCACTGGGGGATGGGTACTCGACCACTGTATGACTGAAACGTAAGCACAAAAGTTTGTAAGTCTGTAACAGTACCTCACAGTGATTCATTTAAAAATAAAAAAAGAAGAAAGAAAGAGAGAGAGAGAGAAGAAAGAAAGAGAGAAGAAAGAAAGAAAGAAAGAAAGAAAGAAAGAAAGAAAGAAAGAAAGAAAGAAAGAAAGAAAGAAAGAAAGAGAAAAAGAAAAGGAGTGGGACATGGGGCTGGAGCAATAGCATAGCCAGAGGGTATTTGCCTTGCCTGTGGCTCGACCAGGGTTCAATTCCCATCATTCTATATGGTCCCCCCAAGCACTGCCAGGAGTAACTCCTGAGTGCAGAGCCAGGAGTAACCCTTGTGCATCACCCGGTGTGAGGGAGGGAGGGAGGGAGGGAGGGAGGGAGGGAGGGAAGGAGGGAGGGAGGGAGGGAGGGAGGGAAGGAAGGAAGGAAGGAAGGAAGGAAGGAAGGAAGGAAGGAAGGAAGGAAGGAAGGAAGGAAGGAAGGAAGGAAGGAAGGAAAAGAAAAGCAGTGGAACCTCCAGGGTATATTCCCAGGAGTGGTATTGCTGGATCGTATGGAAGCTTAACTTCTAGTGTTTTGCAAAATGCCCATATTGTTTTCCAAAAAGACTGGACCATTCGGCATTCCCATGAACAATGAATGAGAGTCCCTTTCTCTACACATCTGCTGGTTCCTCTTGTTCTTTTTCATGTATGCCATCGTCTGTGGTGTAAGATATCTCATTGTTGTTTTGATGTGCATCTCCCTGATGATTAGTAGTATAGAGCATATATTCATGTGCCTTTTGACCATTTGTGCTTCTTTTTTGAGGAAGTTTTTGTTCGTTTCTTCTCCCCATTTTTAATGGGGGTGGATGGGTTTTTTTTTGTAAAATTCTACCAGTGCCTTATATATCTTTGATATTAACCCATTTTCAGATAAATACTGGGCAAATATTTTTTCCCATAAACTCATCTGCACTTCAGAGTTCATTGCAGCATGATTCACAATAGCCAGAATCTGAAAACAACCCAAGTGCCCAAGAATACATGCCTGGATAAAAAAAATTATGGTCATCCATCAGGTTCATCTCAGTCATATACCCCAAATATGTTTACCTTAATATTAGCATGGAGAATACCTTTGGAGTTCTGAGTCTATGTCCTCTTTTTAAAATTCTGAGTCTCTGGGGCTGGAGCAATAGCACAGCAAATAGGGTGTTTGCCTTGCACGCAGCCGACCCAGGTTCGATTCCCAGCATCCCATATGGTCCCCTGAGCGCTGCCAGGAGTAATTCCTGAGTTCAGAGCCAGGAATAACCCCTGTGCATTGCCGGGTGTGACCCAAAAAGCAAAAAAATAAAAATAAATAAAATTCTGAGTCTCATGTGCGTTGTACAATACTCCATAATTCTCTTTCCTAACCATCACTTACCGTTTTTAAAATCTTACTACTCCTTAAAAGGAGGCCATACAGTGCTTCTTTGTAAAGCTGAGTGACCATGGATTTCTGTAACTGTTGTTTGTCCCTAAAGCTCTGTCACTCCTTGAATTTCAATGATAACTGAGCTGGCTAGAATAGTCTTTTTATTTTGAGGGGCTTTTTTTTTTTTTGCTTTTTGGGTCACACCCAGCGATGCACAGGGGTTAGTCCTGGCTTTGTACTCAGGCTTTACTGCTAGCGATGCTTAGGGGACCTTATGGGATGCTGGGGATCAAACCCAGGTCAGCCGTGTGCAAGGCGTTTGCCTTACCTGCTTTACTATTGCTCCAGCCCCAATGAGGGGCTCTTAGACCACCCAGAAGTGTTCAAGGCCTACTCATGATCTATGTTCAAGGATCACTCCTCACAGTGCTCAGGGGTATGTCGCTGAGGTTCAAACCAGGGCCAGTCATATGGAAGGCAAGTTCCATACCTCCTATACTATCTCTTTGACCCTGAATATTTGTTGGGTTGTTTTTATTTCACCCATCTTGTTTGATATGTCAAACGACTCCCATCAGACATGGAGAGTTCCATGTAACAGATCTGCTGTAGTCTTATGGAACTCCTTTAAGTTTAATTTCTTTCTTGATTCTGCTGCTCTCAGGATTCTATTTCTCTCTGTAGCTTTTGCATTTTAATTATAGTGTATCTTAAAGTTTGGACTTACTTTGGAACCCTTTGAACTTCTTGGATCTGTGTAAGACGCAATCCTCAGACTAGGAATGTTCTCCGCTTTAATTTCTTCAACCAATATTTCATCCCCACTCTCCCTCTCCCCTCTCTTGAGGACTCCTATAATTCGGGAGGTATTCTTATTGAAAGTATCCCCATTTTCTTCATTTGTTTTATTTTTCTTCATTTCTTTCTTTCTTTTCTTATTCTGTTCTTTATTGGTGGTTTCATATCTCAATCTCCACCATACTGACTGATTCCTTAGCTCTGTCATTCTCCTGTTCAGTCTATTCAGTGGATTTTAGTTCACCCTTCATGCTTTTCAGCTCAGTAACTTCTGATTACAGTTTTCTCATCTTTTTTGTCACTGTTGAGGACTGATCTATTATTTCCTTGAAAATCCTTAACATTGTCACTTTAAAGTTTTCATCTGAGAGGTCAGAGGTTCAATTTAGGGACATGTTCATGATTTTCTCTTTGTCAAAAAGCCACAGATAAAAAAAAAAAGTCCTCGAGATGAGAGATGTGTGCTGAAAGTAGATGGGCCCTTCTCTCTTTCCATTGAGTGTGATACACTGTTAGGGCTGGTGGTGTGGGTTCAGATTTGTGCAGGCTGATGTAGCAACCAAGGTTCACATTCACCAATTCCACACAGTTTGTAAGCCTCAGTCTGTACTACTAACTAGTTGCTATTGAGACTTTGAAATATAAACTAGTGACATTTCCTTCTGTTCAAAGTTCCCAGTGCCTAACCCTGGTCTCGGTACCACACTGTTTGGGTAACAAGTTATGTTGTTTCATACTCCACAACACAACATTGACACCCAAGGACAGTAGATACACTAGATAGGAGGATTGCTCCATAGCTGGAAGCCTGCCTCATGAGCAGAGGGGAGAACGCAGACGGAATAGAGAAGGGATCACTAAGAAAAATGATGGCTTGAGGAACCGGTCGAGATGAGAGATGTGTGCTGAAAGTAGATAAAGGACCAAACATGATGACCTCTCAGTGTCTGTATTGCAAACCATAATGCCCAAAAGTAGAGCGAGAATATGGGAAATATTGTCTGCCATGGAGGCAGGGGGAGGGTGGGAAAGGGGGGTTATACCGGGGATATTGGTGGTGGGAAATATGCACTGGTGGAGGGAGGGTGTTTGATCATTGTGTGATTGTAACCCAAACATGAAAGTCTGTAACTATGTCACTGTGATTCAATAAAATAAAAAAATAAATATTTTTTAAAAATAATAAAATTCACCAGGAATCCAAAAAAATTAAAAAAAAAAAAGTTTAAGTATCAAAACAACCAGGCTTCTCTAGCTGGATCGACTCTCCTCTACGTGTCTTAGCAAACAGCTGCTTACTCAGTCACTGAGTTAATAACTGATCTCTTGCTTAGCCTCTTAGCAGGCACTTAGATAATTTTCAGCAGGACAGAGGGGGAAGAGGGTTTCCTTATATAAAAAAAAAAAAGCTTCAGGTACCATCGATGCAAATGTCACCTAGTGGGCTGCACTATAGGTTAACCAGCGGTACTTCTACAAGTTAAATTGTTGAGTTCATAACATCCAACTTCCAGAAATATTGTCAAATTAGTCCAAAATGATTGTATCTATTTGTATCTCCACCATTTACAAATATTTACAAATTAAAAAACTAATTCTGCCCTCTTCCCCAAATGACACATGTACCTATGGTGTATTTCTCAATCTGTATTATTTTCAGACTTGCAATTTGTTCAGTCTGATTTAGCTGAAAATGATTAGC